TTTAAATCAGTGCAAAATTCTTGGTTCAGTGGGTGTTCACCTTTTTCCTTTTTTCCCTTTTTTTTTTTTTTTTTTTACACACTGTTTTTCTTATTCCACAGCAGGAAATTCTTATTCCGCTGGTAAACAGTGCGGTTATTCAGTGGCACCAGTAAATTTCTGTAAGTCCCTTATGTCTGCTTTTGCTGAGGGCAAATGGCATTTAGAGATGCATGAAATAACAATTTCACACACCAATAAAGTGAGTTTGATGGGAGGAAGGTTTAAAAACTATTAATTTAATATTAGAGATGCACCAATCCAGTACTGATGTCAATCCTGATGAGGAAGAAAAAAATGTGGTATCTGTGATGATGCACCTTTTCCATAAGGGCAGATCTACTCAGCCTAACTCTATGCTTTGTACTGAGTGACATCATGCTTTATGTATTCAACACTATATTAAGAATTCCTCTCTTGAACCATTTGAAAGGTTTGTTGCACTTTACCACATGTTTGACCAAGGTAGTCGGTTTCTTTACTATTTTCCATTTTCTGTTCTTCTAATTGCAGTGAGTGAACAAATTAAAGTTTTTTCACTTGCTTGTTTGACCAAGCAAGTTGGTGTGTTCAAGTGTTGCTGTACTGGTGTAGTTATAAAAAAAGAAGTAATTTGGTACATTTAAGTAAAATAAATAAAATTGTTTTAAGTCGGTACATTTTTCTGTACCAGGCGAAACTAAACCTCAAATATCGGTTTCAAAAGTAAAAAAGTGGATCGGTGCATCCCTTTAACTTGACTTAATTGTTGTGCTTCTCTTTGCTGAAATGCTTGCAGTTGAAGCTAATTCTAAGGCAAGATATTTGTCATTTAATTATTGGCTACCTTTTCCTTAGTCCTGGTTCATTTTTTTCCCTTTTTTTATGGACAATATGGATTCCCCTCCCCCTCCTCATACATATAAATATTGATGTTGTTTATCTCGCCTTCAATGGTCTCCAAGATGCCCCTAAGCAGTGCCCCCAACCATGGCAGGCTGACTGCCAGCCAGTGCAGGGAGCTAGCTGTCCTACAGGATGGGATGACTGTACCATGGGTAACTACTGTGCAAAGTCAAAGCCAACACTTAAAAACCTGCATGAGCCAGTACTCCCTGAGGGTGGGGGTGAGGAGTGGCAGATCTTAAAGCCTGCTTCCCTACTTTTTACTCAGGTTACCCAAGACTGGCCTCTCAAGAGCTTGCCTTTTACCATGCCTACAGTGGCGGCTGGCGAAACCGATGCGGTACACTTTGACCTCCGCTTGCATGCTGTCCCATCTACCTGATGGCACACTTTGACAGTGTGTGCAGCTAGCTGAAAGCCTTAGCACAGTTGCTAATGAGCGTGATGATGCTGCATGGCAGCGATGCATTGGGTTACCCTGCATCACCTGGGTGGCTGACGATTTACTCTGTAGGCAGTGAAAGGGATGCAGAGCTGGTTTGTTTAGTAGAATCTGGTTGAATCTCTGCTGCCATCAACCTGTGGAGTTGGACCCATTTTATTTAGCATAACTGCACCAGAATCCTGGATTCAGCTCAGCTCCAACACACCCGGGTTAAACAGATGGTTCAGGATTTTGTGTAACTTTCCAAAAGGAGGCAATTAAGTTGTTTGATTCATGTTTGTTGGAGCAGGAAAGCATCCAGAAGTTGCTATACAGAGGGAGCAGACCGGAGAGGCAGACCCCTGCTCCAGTAATACGGCCCCACCACCTTCTTCAAACTCAACAAAAAAATGGTGTTCAGTTCATTTGAACATCAATTTCTGCTGGTTTATGCAGCAAGAACGTTTCATTTGTGCCGCTTTCATATTAATGTTAAATTTTTCCAGCGGTCATCAAGGGTCAACACAAGATGCTTCATATTTACAAAATCAAATAAAATGTGTCTCGCAACTATGCTAACGTGTGCAGGGAACATTTTTTGTTTGCGTCATTGTAATTTTTAAGCTTAAAAAAAGGGGGGGGGTTGCAGGGATCAACCTGGTGATGGTTTGTGCAGCAAAATTATTTTGTAGCACAGCTGGTTGGTCACAGATTTCCTTGATTTCGTGAATGTTGGGAAGGTGGTTGACCTTTAACCTCTGGAAACATTAATATCCTTCCAGTTTTTTTTTAAATCCACTTCAAAAATCTGAACTAGAAAAAAATCTAATTGGTGTGTAACAAATCCTAGGTGGATAATTTATTTAGACACATTTTAGTTACTGATTGTTTCTGATTATTCCCATAAACTCTTAAGACTTTAAAAAAACATGATCGCTAATAGCTGCCTAATGTTTCAAACATTTTATGAATTTCTCAACCTGAACATTCAGTCAGCTTTGCCTTGAACACAGACTTCTTTGGCTCATCAGTGTCTGACCGGGCATTGTGATCGCTTGTGTTGGCCATCTCTGTTGTGCGCTTACTAAAAGGCTTGTCGTGTGCTTACTAATGGTTTCCACAATGGAGGTTTTTGTTGACTCCTGGGTCTAAAAGTATTTTATCTTCAACAAAAGACCTTGGAAGTCTGCCAAGATCCGTGTGGCTGTTCTGCTTTTGATATTTGGGCTGAGGACGTTTCGGCAGAACGCTTAGACTAACGGTCCTCGTTCACCGGCTTCAGACCTGAAGTGTGGCCACCAGCAGGAGCAGTGGCTACTGAAATTGGTGCTGCACAGTAATTTTTACTGTTATTAAACAATGGTGTCAAAGGGGCCTGTTTCTACCTGCCTGCTTTGGTATGTTGTCTGCAGTTCAGTTGTGATGGACCTAATTAAACCTGCTGTGTGTATTTGAAGTGTTAGCAACTGGATATAAAACCATTTCTAAACCTAGTTTTTCTTTTTCCTTTTTTTTTTTCTTTTTTTTTCTTTTTTTTTTTTTCTTCCCCCCTTTTAATGTGAAGATTCACCTGGGTGGGACGGAGGACGCACCAACGGATTTGTGAATGGTTTCCATGACAACCGTACAAATGGGGGTTTCGGAGGGCGTGGACCCCCTCGCAATGACAGAGGTGGGCGTGGCGCCTACCGTGGTAACAGGGGCCGAGGCTCGTTTAATCAACCATTGCAAAATACAGGTGGGGAATTCCTGTTCTCTTAAAAATCTAACTGTAGCCGAAGGTGTAGCGTAGCGTTAGCCGTAAGCCCTCACCCCACCCTTTTTTTAAAGTGTCTCTGTTTACATTCTCTTGATAGTAAGCATGCATTTTTAAACTTGCATCCCAGTCCGTTAGCTGTGAGGAAAGGTCAGGAGTGACATAAATTGACGGTTTAACAGGACTTTTGCTTTAAGGAAAACACACAGCTCCAGCCTTGGTAAGCAGCAGACATCTCTGGATGTCTGACAGCTGATTGTGCCAGAACAGTTTCAGAGTTTGTCAGTGATGGCGTTTCGTTTCCCCCGTCGCAGGGTTTGGAGGCTACGAAAACAAAGACGGAGGCTGGGGAGGAGCCCCTAGAGACGCCGCCTACAACAGCTTTGGAGGACGCAACGATCGGTCCAAGTCTGCGTTCTTCAACGACCGTGGGTCTGGCTCCAGAGGAAGGTGTGTGTGACGCTAACTTACAGCAACCCTGAAATATGTGAAGCGTTCAGAGCATCAGAGGTTTTATCTTCAGTTTTACATCTAGGTGTCATTTGTGCAGAAAAACCCTTCCAAACAAGTTACTGATGCTAAATTTCATTATAACTTGGGGCTGAAACAAGTAATCGAGATGAATCAATTATTGAAATGTAGTAATTGCTAGCTGGCGTATACGGACTCTCAAATACCACATTTGTTGAAAGAACAGCAGTAATTAAGCCAACACTGAACAAAAATGTATATATTTTGGATTTAAGATGAAAAACCTTGTCTGTAAATATTACCTTCACGTGGAAGTTCTAGCTTCATTTGGTTCAAATTCTGTCATTAAACGAAACTTAAGAACCTTTTCCATCCCATTATTAACTGGTTAATCAATCAGGATAATCTGCATCTACTACTTTGCTTTAGCTGCAGATGCATGCTTTTACAATTGATCAAGCATATGCTAAAGGAAAAGTTAACACATTTTAGGCATGAAAGTTTTTTTTAAAAAGTAATTTTACAACTCTGATGTATTTTTGCAGTTTCAAATTTAAGTGGTTAAATGGTTTGTTTGAGCCGATTGTCAGTATAATCTATAAAATACTCGCTTTCTAAAAGGATGGTTTTCTGCAGCAGCATTATATCGCCACATGTAAACAGAACATTTGCATCTGTTTCCAGATACGAGCGTGGGGGGTTCGGTGGTGGTGGGAACAGCCGCTGGGTGGAGGAGTCCAGAGGAGAAGACGACTGGTCCAAGCCTACTGCACCCAATGAGCGTCTGGAACAGTAAGCGACATTAAGCTGGTTGGGAATTATCTGCCTGTATGTTACAATCAGACTAATCCTAACTGTATCCTGTCTGCAGCGAGCTTTTCTCTGGAAGCAACACGGGGATAAACTTTGAGAAATATGACGATATTCCCGTGGAGGCGACTGGATCGAACTGCCCACCACACATCGAGAGTGTGGGTGTCCCTCACCGTCTCTGTTCCTGTTTTTAGACAGAGCCTGATGACTAATGACTGTTTCATTGTGCAGTTTCATGATGTGGACATGGGGGAGATCATCATGGGGAACATCAACCTGACCCGCTACACCCGGCCCACTCCGGTCCAGAAGCACGCCATTCCCATCATTAAGATTAAGAGAGACCTGATGGCCTGCGCCCAGACGGGTTAGTGTCCCTCATCCCAAATGGCTTAGCGTTTAGTGTGACTGGTTAGCGTCTCTGGTGTTCCTTACAGACAGTTAAAGTAAAGTTTGTTGTCTTAAGATGGTTAGTGGTTTTTGTTTAGATCTTTATTTAATAGAGCCCATGTGTGTTTCAGGTTCTGGTAAAACCGCTGCTTTCCTGTTGCCGGTTCTGAGTCAGATCTACACAGACGGGCCAGGAGATACTCTGCAAGCCTCAAAGAGCAGTGGACAGGTAAAAACAACAGTCCATAAAGTTGTAATCATTCCACACGGTGTTGGGTTGGTCCTGAGTTTTCCTCCAACCTCCAGGAGAATGGACGGTACGGCCGTCGTAAGCAGTACCCCATCTCCCTCATTCTGGCTCCAACCAGAGAACTGGCTCTGCAGATCTACGATGAGGCCAGGAAGGTGAGTTTGTAGCTAACAAATAGTTCTTCGGTTCTTCTTTTTCACTGCCGTGTGAAATCACAAGACCTCCTGTTGGTTCCTGGTGTCCAGTTCGCCTACCGCTCCCACGTGCGTCCCTGTGTGGTGTACGGCGGCGCCGACATCGGCCAACAGATCCGGGACCTGGAAAGAGGCTGCCATCTACTGGTGGCCACACCGGGACGTTTGGTGGACATGATGGAGAGAGGCAAGATTGGTCTGGACCATTGCAAGTTAGTATCCGACTCACTGGAATGTCAAAAGATCAAACGTTTGAATTCAAAGGTTTGACACCAGGATCTATTGGTGACTAAATGTTGAATCGTGTCTGCAGCTACCTGGTTCTGGACGAGGCTGACCGCATGTTGGACATGGGCTTTGAGCCGCAGATCAGACGCATCGTGGAGCAGGACACGATGCCGCCCAAGGGCATCCGCCAGACCATGATGTTCAGCGCCACCTTCCCCAAAGAGATCCAGGTATGTTTTCATGACGGCGGCCTTACAGTGTCGCTTTGGCGGTGCGTTCAATGACTCTGGTCATCTCATTGTTGGCTGCTGTTGATCTCAGATCCTTGCTCGTGACTTCCTGGAGGACTACATCTTCCTGGCAGTGGGGCGCGTCGGTTCCACATCAGAGAACATCACGCAGAAGGTTGTCTGGGTAGAAGACAACGACAAGAGGTCTTTCCTTCTGGATCTGCTCAATGCCACAGGTAAAAAAAATGTTTTTTTCTTCATTTAACAAATGAAAATGGTTGCATCTCATTCTGTTCAAGTCTGCAATGCTAAGCTAATGTCAGCCTCTGGCTACAAGGGCTAAGGATATTTCAGTACAGGATTTCCCCCAGAAAGTTTGCTAAACCTGGTGGTTGGGGAGCTAAGTCAGTCTCATTAAGTTCCTGTTGTGTTTTTGAGTTAAAAAGTCAACAATAAATTTGAAAATATCACTTGATGATTATGTATTATTGAAATACTACTGCTTGAATATTGGCTATAAAGTCTTACAAAATGCAAACATAAAAACAAAACCTAAAATAAATAAGCGGTGCTTATACTGGTGGATGCCCAAGTAAAGCCTGGTGGCCCGCCAGGCTTATAATACATTGGGGGAAACCCTGCAATAGGAACATGACCAGCCTACAGAAAGCTTCGCCTCATACCAGAGTCATGTAACTTTATTCATATTCCTAGGAATTTGATTCAGTGTTTTGTCTTATGCGTAGAAATGCAATCTAAACTGAATTGAACTGGGTTGGTTGTGTAGCTCTGATACTAATGAAGAACTTATTTAGCACCTCCAGATGTTGTTTTAAGGCCTGCATGCCTGGCTATGGGGGAGGAGGAAAGTTGGCCTGTTTTCTTGGCACTGAAGTGAATGCTAAGATGACTAATTGTCAAAGTTTTTTTTTTTTTTTTTTTTTTTACTGGCCTGCATAATTAAATATCTGAATTTTAACCCAATAATCAGACACATAGCAGACATTATGAAACTATTAAAGTAATCTTGGGGATTTTTGATGATCGGTAAAATTAAAAGAACTCCAATACCTGTTTCAGTAAAGAGGCATTTATCACCAGGGCTTTATAATCTTCCTGTTGCGTCCTCGGTGATGTCTTCAGTTCCTGCTTCTGTAAAACACGTTCAGGTTATATTTCCGTACTTGCTGCATGCGTGTGGATTCTTAGCATTTCAAAGCCCCCTCATGTGGCTTCCTCATGGCTCCCCAGGTAAAGACTCCCTGACTCTGGTGTTTGTGGAAACAAAGAAAGGAGCCGACGCTCTGGAAGACTTCCTGTACCGCGAGGGCTACGCCTGCACCAGCATCCATGGAGACAGATCTCAGAGGGACAGAGAGGAAGCTCTGCACCAGTTCCGCTCTGGACGCTGCCCAATCCTGGTGGCTACAGCTGTAGGTTACCCATAGTTGCGTTATATTTCTCTAAATGTAATCATTCCTGAGTTGTTTTGCCAAAAAGCCGTTGCTGTTGCATGCTTCCTGCTTGACTTTGAGCTTGTAAGGACACTGAGCCAACTGAGGAACACCAAATAAATGTCCGTCCTTCTGTCCAGGTGGCTGCTCGAGGTCTGGACATCAGCAACGTGAAGCACGTGATTAACTTCGATCTGCCCAGCGACATTGAGGAGTACGTTCACCGTATCGGCCGTACGGGACGTGTGGGCAACCTTGGTACGATCCCGCTCAGTAGCTTAAAATGATCTCTTTGCTTTAAAGAACGGCGGCGTAACATAACTTGTGGACTCTTGCTCAGGTCTGGCCACGTCGTTCTTTAACGACAAAAACAGCAACATAACCAAAGATTTGCTGGACATCCTGGTTGAGGCCAAGCAGGAGGTTCCTTCCTGGCTGGAGAGCCTGGCCTACGAGCACCAGCACAAGAGCACCAGCCGCGGACGTTCCAAGAGGTAACGCCCCAGTATCTGGTCCCATGTCAATTCTTCCAGTAAGAGGTCAAAATGAAAATAATTCATAGAAAATCAGACAAAAGAAGCATTTTTCCAAATCTGTTTATTCGGTGTATAAAACTGAAACTATGAAACTTCAGCAAAACTGCAGGTGTGTCTGTATTTTTTGGTTCAAACTAGTTTGTTCTTCGTTCAGTTCAGTGCATAAAGTACCCAGAGGTTTTACTCAAGAGTAGTGCAACTTCAAAATAAATTTGCTCTAAAGTAATAAGTACCATGTAGTAAAAATGCGTTTCCTAAAAGCTGCTAAACTGGTTGTCTCTGTTCTCATGTTCAGACGGGCTAAATCTGTTGTCAGTCTGGTTCCTGTGTGCAAACACTTACTGGTTTCTCTCCTGCAGGTTCTCTGGTGGTTTTGGAGCCAGAGACTACCGCCAGGCATCGGGTGGCTCCGGAGGCTTCAACAGCAACCGCTCAGGACGCAATGCTGGCGGTCACGGAGGAAACCGTGGCTTTGGTGGAGGTACACAAGCTAATGTGGCTCAGCTTTTAAAGGGGCAGCATCATGTATAATCAAAAAAAAAAAATTCTGTTCCCTCAAAAACATGGCTAGTATTGCCATGATTCTTTCATTCTTTTGCCCTTTAATCACCCATGGCAACCATTCAGCTGTTCAAAATGCCTGGGTGGACATTGCTAATTATTTCTGGCTAGTCTGAAGGAGCTAACACCGAGTGGAACTGTGCATCCACTGAACTTATCCCAGCCGCTACACAGAACAACGCTGGTAAAAACATTAAAGGGTTCATAGAGGAGCAAAGTTGTGCTGATTCTTGAAGACGGAGTTTCACAAAGAGCAGGAGCTTCTTGCAGAGACGGAGGTCCAATTTTGAGGCGTTAAGTTATATTTACTTCATATTTATATCAAATAAATATAGTTGACATAAATAGCATTTTTATAATATCAAAAGTTACTCGACTGTGTTATAAAATGCCTCTATGTGCCTGGAAAATACATAAAGCTGCCCCTTTAAAGTGTTTTTGTGCCGTCATGACTTTCACCTTTCTGTTTCCCAAACTAGTCGTTTCCTCTGACCTGTCCTGACTTTCTCCTCCCAGGTGGCTTCGGCGGCAACTTCTACAGCGACGGCTACGGCGGAAATTACAACCACTCTGGTAGCGTAGATTGGTGGGGGAACTAAACACCATAGGAACAGGTTGTCATGCCAACCTGCTGGAAACCACATGTTAACCTAAGCCAGACCATAACAAACCCTCCCTGTGTAGCTCCACTGACAGACAGTACATTACAACCCCAGTTCTCTGCCACCGGCTTCTTTCCCCTCGAAAGGAAGCGCAGCACGACGCAAAGAAAATCACCAGCACGTGCCGACCGCCAGGGGGCGCCGCAGAGATTTTGCACACCACAGAACGAGCATGGATGCTTACATGCACTGTCCGACCGCAACCTCGGACTTTTCATTGTTCAAAAAAAAGTATTTTTGTTCTCACTGCGGGGTCCGCTACCCCGCAAACCGGGTAACCTGAGGATTATTTGTATGTTGATGTACTGTGCCTTTTTGAATTTAACCAGGAAATATATGTTATTTCACCAGATGAACATGGCCAAGAGCTCAAAATTAGTTTTAAAGATTTAGTTTGGGGAAAAAAAATAGTCGTTAAAAAAAAAAAAAAGAAAAAAAAAGAAACTAGAAAAGTTGAAATAAGCTTGGACTTAAACCTTGGCAAACTCTTGGGTGTTGTGGCTCTTGGAGTCATGATTCCATTTGAACCTCAAATTTCTAACATCATGTAGCCTTTTTCTATTGTCAAACAGCTAATGGAGCCATTAGTTTCTCTAAAACTGGGCCACTGTGTGAAGCCGCCGTTTTAATCTGAAGGGGGACAAAGTTCCATTAGTGTTTTCTCTCTCTCTTTTTTTTTTCTGCTCACTCTATCCTGGACAGGCTCTGTTTAGGGACATGGTCGTCTTTTTCTTTCTTTTTTTTTTTTATTTAGCCATTCCTGACGTAATCTTAAGAAACACAGCAGTCGTTAAGCTCAGTGCCAACAGTCGCTGAGGTACAAAAACCAAGAAACCAATGCTGGAACTCCACGCTTTCCGATACATGTTACGGCAGCTAGTCTGTTACCAAGCGCTAGCTACTTTAAAAAAAAAAAAAAGAAAACTGAACGGTGGTTTTTGTTGCTTTTTACTTGAGACGTTCTTGGAGCAGGCGTATGCAAATTACTTTTGGAAAAACCCCAGTCAGGTTTTTGTGAATCGTTTCTCTACAAAAAAAAAGGTGTATCGAAGCAATGCCTGCCATCTTGAAAGTGAAGTTCAAAATGGCTGCACAAAAGGACCACAACATTGGGTATTTTACGCTTGCAAGTGTTTTTGTTTTTTGGTCAAGGGAGAAAGGACACGTGAACTTGAGTCGCAGGCTTAACTTAATTACTAACATTTTTCTCTTTTTCAAGCTGCGTTGGAGGCGTGGTTCATCGTTAGGAGACGGGACATTGGAGTAATCACTGAGGTTTTCAAATAACCAGTGGGAAAAATGGGTGGGTGGGGGTGGTCTACGTTGGGGAGCAGCACTCCAACCACACGGGGTGGGGTGGGTGGGTGAGGGTGCGGGGCGAGACTTTTTTCAGTGCACCGCCGTTTGGTTTACACACAAAACTGAAGGTGGCCAAAGATCGGAAGGTGTCCTACCTTCTGTACGGAACATTTAAGTAGTATCAGGAAATAAAAAAAATAATTCGGAGCAGCTTTTCCTCTGGAAGAGGAGCAGGAGTCGGATACGGAATGCTCCCCAGTCCTCATCAGGTGTGATGTGCCTTGAAACCTTTAATTTTTTCTTTTCTTTAAATCTGAAAAGCGGATGCACTGACAGTATTGAGAGATTGAATGGTGCTACTTGATATGTGTGTAGGCCCTCGTACATCGAGCCCATCGAGTTTTACTAAAGTTGTTTTATTGCACATCTAGAGTTTTATATAGATGTCTCTGATATGTGTCCTTAAGCTTCCAAATATTGTGTGTGAGGAGTTTGTGGAGAGAGAGAGAGGGGGGAGACCCACAAAAAAACGCAGCTTGTTTACAAAGGGGGAAGGGTTCTCAACGTTGAAATCCAGGATTTATTTGGGACCAGGGGGATTTAGCAGTCTGGGGGGGAATTTAGCCATTTGCACAGATTTCTAGATTCTACTTTTGCTGCTAGTTTTGTGTAATTTATTAAGCATTTTTGACAAATATTTATTTTTGTAAGCCTCTAAGTGATTCTTTGAAAGTTTCAGAAACTTGACCAAAAGACAGTACAAAAAACACTGGCACTTGAATGTTGAATGTCACCTGTATGCGTGAAATTTATATATTTCGGGGTAGTGTGAGCTTTTTAAATGTATACGATCCATTGGACTCAGTTTCTAATATCCACAGCTGTTTCAGAGGCCTCCACATGGCCAGCCATCTATTAGAATTTCCCAATTGGTCATCAAAATTCAAAGTGGATTTGAGCAAACATGCCAAGGTTTGGTGTAAAGCTTTCAAAAGAGCAAATAAATTTCCTAAGCATATCAGTGCAGAAGTGTTCAGATTCTCCAACTGTGTGCATTAATCCTTTAGTCTAATTTGACCTGATTGTTTTATTTTTTTTTTCTAGTCAATGTCTGGCACATGGCAATCCTTAAAGAAACAAACATGTGGTTTATTCTCCTTGTTGTATTTTTGCATATATGATGCCTCTCGAGTTCTCCGTGGCTGTGGAACAGGTCTTCAGCTCTGAATCTCGAGCAGAACCTGAGACTTGTTGCTCAATCTTTAGAGAAACCCCAGAGCTGTTTAGATGTAGACTTTGCTTTTCTGTGTTAGCCTCTAGGCTGCTGCACTGCATGGAGGAGGGGGGGAGTACTCAGCTGTGCAACAAATGTAAGATTTTACCAAAATAAAATGTTTGAATGCAAAAAGTTTGTTGAAAAATCAAGCATGTTTTCTGAGAAGTTGTTTACTGTAGATGATGCTGAGAAGACTTGTAGCAAGCGGCCTGCTGCTATGTGGCACCTGGCAGATGGGCGGCGAAAATCAGTTTGTGATGGATTGGATGAGCTTCATTTGTTTTGATGAGGAAAAATGCATAAAGATTTCATTTGTACTTTCAACTGTGTCATTTTTGTATTTTTCCTTAAGTTGATCGGCTTCATTTTTGCACAGTACCGTGTGTGAGCACATAACGCGGTCTGCAGCGGACACATCACAAGTCTGTTGCAAATGTGTCCAAATCTTTAATATTCCGCTGATGTTAAAACACAATTTTGCAATTGCGTCTCCATTAAATAAGGACTAAATTAAAATCACGTGAACGAGTTTAAACGCCATAAGTCATGGCCACTTTACTCATTTCAATTGGATCCATTTGCATTTCAGCATTTGTGATGTTTGTCAGTGGAGGCTTCATTAGAAGTTAATATTGATGCTCTGAGACCATTTTCATGTAGTATAATGGTGAAATACCTCAAGAGCACATTTTCAAAGAAACTTTAAATTCTAATCAACATTTAACCCTGAACTGGAAAACATTTTACATATTCAAAATAAAGTAAATTGGTCCCTCAAAAACGGGACTAATTCAGACCAAAGCACCAAACTGAAAACTTTTCAGTTTTTGGTAAAAACTGAGAAAAGAAAAACAAAATGGAAATTCAGCTTGTTTTAATTTATTATGCAATTAATTCATGTATTGCTTAATGCCACAAGGCCACATGTAGACCCTGAAACTCTAAACCGAACAAATGTAAAGTATTTGCTTTTGGAAAGTAAAGTTTAAAACGATCAGGAGGTTCAGCAAACAGGACGTCCCGATTCAACTAGAACCCCGTTACCTCGACTCTAACGTCAAACCTGAGTTCAGACTTCCGAGGTAACCTGAACGCATCGTAAGACTTCAAGGTGAGAGGCTAAGCTGGACCTACGTGTGTGTGTCCCATCACACACACACACACACACACACAGTGAGCAGCGTTTCATGTGTCCCAGTAACAGTTGTTAGTCATGTTGAACTGTTAGCAAAGAAGCTGAGGAAAACCTAAAGGAAGTGGTATTCTGCAGGAAGTACAAATATGGAAGTTTATCCCTCCACTACTGCCAGAGAGCTGAATCTAATTTGACCCATTTATATGGAGTTTGTCATTCCAGGTGTGCAGTTGAAATAAATACATTTGAAATGAGACTAAACCTGACGAGTAACTTCTCAGCAAGATTTTTGATTGTCAATAGTTGAATATAGATCTAAAGTTCAAGTTCCACTGGCAGATTTTTTTCATGCAACATGTTTTAAGTGAAAAAATCTGCCATGGATGAAATCGGTGCCTTTCATCTATATTAAGCTTCTATAATCATTTCAAACCTGCTCCTGTATATTGCAGGAAGGTTCAGTCTGCTCCGGACTCTTGTCGGTGCATCTGGAGCAGGAAAAACGCAAACCAGTGGATTAATATTCCAGTTGAATGAAAAGCATGTTTTAGCCCACTTTTTGGACTTTTTTTTTTTTTTGCTCACTCTGTGGAGGTCACACTGGCTTTTGTCTGCTGAGCAGGTTTCGTAACGGCTCTGTTTGTGACGCCCACTTCGTATAATTTGTGTGTCATGTTGTGAAAAGCAGGTTATGGAGCCATTAAAGTTGGGTGAAGTTAGAGAGCTCCACCGCTTATCTGTTTAATAAATTGTATTGATCGCCTGTTTGATCAGATCACTGTGTGGACTTCGCCAATAAACCACTAAAACAGAAGCAGTTTGAAGTTTTACCTCTAAACTTCATGGTGTGTGTGTGTGTGCATTTGTTTGTAATACCTTGTGGGGACGATTTTCCTGACATATACTACGTTGTGGGGACCGGAGCCTGGTCCCCACAAGGGAAAACCCTGTTTTTGGGTCAGGGGTCAGAGTTTGGACTAAGGTATGAATTGAGTTTTGGTTAGGGTTAGGAAAAGGGTAAAGGTTAGGTTTAGGCTGTAGAAATGAATGGAAGTCAATGGAAAGTCCCCACAAAGATAGCAACACAAACATGTGTGTGCGTTAAGTTACATCTGTGACTCTGTGCTTCCATATAAGAGCTCTTTACTTGTGTAATCCCACCAACCGGCCGTCTCCAACCCCATCCCTCCTTCTATCACTCCATCCAGGGGATTTGACGGCCATTAAGCGATAGCTTTTTGGTGTGTTTGTGTGTCCCATCACACACACACACACACACACACAGTGAGCAGTGTTTGATGTAAAGGCTCTGCTCCACTTGCCTGGTGGTGCTGCAGAATGTGGACTGACATGGGACGGACAGGATGAACACATGCATGCGGATCTGGATAGGGAGCTTTGACACACATGGATGCAGCTCTCCAGAAAGGGCTACAGGTATTTCTTCCCCGCCCCACCCGCCTCACTTCCATTTTCTCCGGTTGCGTCTCTCCCTGCTGATGATTTCATGAGATATTTGTACGATTCGTTAACAGCTGGTGCTGGTGTTTGTGCGTCTCCAGACCTCCATTAATCCTGGCATGTTCCAGATGAGAGACGGCAGGAATGACTTCCTTCACTTTCACCGGTCAGTTCCAGCTTCACATCTGATGGAGTCGCTTCTCTGTGTGACCGTTTCGTTCTGTCGAATGGCAACAGACTCAAGCACACGTTAACCGGAACGTGTTAATATGAATTTTTTTTTTTTTTATAGCATCAGCATAATCTCAGAACAAAAAACAAAAATTAACCAAGAGCTAATTGTTTTTAAGAAATGGGGCCAGTGTGGTTAAACCTGTACAAGTAAAGTTTATTAGTCAGTTTATTAACGGAAAATTTCAGACATTCAATGTGCTTTACATGATGAAAATATAATACACTAACCATTTATGAAACAAGCAATAAACATTACATTTTGTCAAATGCCTTTATCAAAAAATCATGAACCAAAAGTACATCTAATATAGCAGGTGAGGTTTTGATTTAAAGGAGCTCGGTGTTTCAGCTGTTTTACAGTTTTCTGGAAGTTTGTTCCAGATTTGTGGTGAATAGAAACTGAATGCTGCTTCTCCTTGTTTGGTTCTGGTTCTGGATGCCGATCTGAGAGGTCTGGAAGTTTGATGTGCTGTGGTCTAAGATGTTCAGTGATTTATTAACTAACAATATTTTAAAGTCTATTCTCTGAGTCTGATTTTTTAGTCAGACCTGTGAAGACGCTGTTGCAGTCATCAATGTGACTAGAGGTAAACATATGACTGAGTTTCTCTAGGTCTTACTGAGACATTCGTCCTCTATTCAGGTGATAGAAGGCCAAGTTTGTAACTGTCTTTATGTGTTTCTGAAGGTTCAGGTCAGAGTCCATCACTACCCCAGATGTTTGGCCTGATCTCTTGTTTCTAGCTTTGTGCCCACATGACTCCACAGATCCTCTTTAGGTCCAAAGATAATAACTTTACTTTTGTTTCTGTTCAACTGAAGAAAGTTGATCCACACATTGATCTGTTCTAAGAATCTGTTGAGAAGAATCTAATCTAGAGCAGATCCCCAGTTGGAGATCATCCAGATGGACTCCAGCAGGTCTGGTTTTCAATAGGTTCTGGATCTGGGGTTGGGGTGGCCATAGAGGAACTTTGAGTTGTGTTTTTTTGCATCCTGATATCATGGAAAAAGTAGCTCTAGATTGGATCAAATTCTTATTTACTTTCTGGTATTTCAGGGAGCCATGCAGTCTAGCAAGGTTAGCCTTTGGAAGTCTCCTCCTCACTCTTCCATGTTTTCTTCATTTATTGATATCGTTTTTCATCTGTTCTTGAATTTCCTCCGTTAGGGTATGATGCGTTGTTTTGTAGACCTTGGAGCCTGCTTCATGCTGTCAGGGCCTGATTCGAATGCAACAAAGTGAACTTTTCAGTAAATGTATGAGGATAGACATGGGTCCACTTACTATAAAAACAAATGGAACATTTAGCATTGTGAGAAAATTATGTGGGTAAAAAAAAAATCTCACAATTGGCCTTCAGGCGACACCTCTGATTTACACTGAATTTTGACTATCAGAGTAAAGGGGCTTGAATACATTTGGATGCTACACTTTTTAGATTTTATCCAGCTGTCCTAACGGAGCGTCTGCAGGGATTCGGCCTCACTGCCCTGTCTCACCCGTTGCCTTTCAGTCTCTGTGCTGTGCCTGCTGCCTCAGTCGGCGTTGGCGCGGTGGGCGTGCGTCCGGGCCTGCCCGCCGTCCTGCTCCTGCACGCAGGAGAAGAGCTGCAGCGTGCTGTGCGACCGCGCCGGCCTGGCCGAGCTGCCCAGAGAGTTCCCTTGTGAGGCGTCCGCCATCAACCTGGAGAAGAACCGGCTCAAGTTCCTGTCAGAGCGGGCCTTCGGGACCCTGCCCTCGCTCAAGTCTCTGTCTCTGGACCACAACAACATCTCCTTCATCACCCCGGGAGCTTTCAAGGTTTCCTTTTCAGTCGTATTTTAACCATATCTTAATGAGCAACCCGTTTCCAGCCAGACGGCTGGGTTTTAAATGTAATTCAATGTGATGAGAATTTATAGAAAAAGTAGCAGAGGTCCCTGATTGTTGCCCCTTAACCTCGATTGTTGCTCTGCAAGTTTACAGGTACAAAGACTTCACTTAGAATCTATGAAGAACCTAAAACCTCATCTTTTTGTATAATTTCTATCAAGAAGTTGTGTAAAATTCCCCATGTATCATTTCTGCAGCTGTTTCATCCTGGAGTCCAGGTTCCTCCAGGCTGTTCCAGACAACTAATGAACATGGTCATTTATATCTTTTGGGTTTCCTTCCAGACGCTTCTCCCAGTATTTTCCTGGAGTTCTGGTCCATTCCTCCTGTCTGTAGCCTGCCTCACTAAGGCGCCTTTTCAGATCTGATAACAACTCGGACTGAGGTCAGGACTTTGTGATGATTGAATCAACACAGTGACTGCATGACCAGTTTGAATGTTTAGGGTCATTGTCCATTTGGAAGACCAATCTGTGGCCCAAGCTTTTACTTCCTGGCTGATGTCTATAGATGTTCCTCTAATGTTTCCACATAATTGTCTTTCCTATTTTATGAAGCAAACCAGTTCCTCCTGCAGCAAAACATACACTACCAGCTGGGACGGTACAAGAACGTAACAATGGTCCTTATACCCAAACAGTTCCACTTTAGTTTCATCAGAGTACAGTCCATCCCTCCAGAAATGAAGATCTTTGTCACTACAGTGTTCATCTGCAAACTATAATCAGGCTTAGAGTAACGACTTCCTCCTTGCTGAATGGCTTTTCAACTAACGCAGTACAGGACAGTTTAACTGTGGATACTATCATTGCCATACCAGCTTCAGCCAGCATCTTCATGAGGTCTTTGGCTTTTGTTCTGGACTCAATCTGAACATTTCGGAACAGAACCAGTTCATCTCTGGCACCCAGAACCCGTCACTGTCCTGAGCATCATGACGGTTGGCGTTCCCATCGTGTTCATACTCAATAAAAATGTTTGAACAGATGAGCGCGGCCCCTTCAAGGAGCAGTAAATTATTCCCAAGGATGAACCAGTCTGGTGCGGCTTCCTGATATCTTGGCTGCTTCCTGCTGAGCTTCCCAACGGGTCAAACCAGGAAGCAGGAGAGAGTCCAATTAACTAAGCTGGGACAGTTCACCTCTCAGGAGTTTGTGGAAGGAAGCCCAAAAGTCATACATCTTAAGGCAGTTATCCCTGATACTGACCAAATGCATGTAAGCTTTTGAATTACAGGAAAAATATTTTTAAAAATGTCTAAAAAGAATTTCTCACCAACTTTCTGGCACTGAGCAAATAGAAGTAATTTTGGTAATTCTAACTAAAGTAAATCAAGAAAAGTTTGGTCCGACTTAACTTCAGACTGAGAGAAAAATGTGTTTGTGTCCTTTTACTCAGTGGTTTCTGCTGTAGCTAAGAAACTACTGAATCTAAACAGCAGCAGCTCCTAAAAACCTGTGTCTTCCAGGGCCTCTCGAACCTGCTGGAGCTGAAAATGGCCCACAACGAGTACATCAGCTACCTTCACACCCGGACGTTCACGGGGCTGAAGAAGCTGCTGCGGCTGGACCTGTCCGACTGCAACCTCTTCAGCATCCCCGACCGCATCTTCATCGAGCAGACCGCCATGACGGAGCTGCTGTGCTTCCAGAACAACTTCCGCAGGATCCCAGGGGCCATCCGGGGCATGGAGAACCTGACGCACATCTACCTGGAGAGGAACAAGATCGAGGCGGTGGCCTACAACTCGCTGCAGGGCCTGGGGAGCCTCAGGTGAGAAACGCCTGCAGGCTTCCTTTCCCTTCCTACGGGCGTCTGAATGAAACGGGCGACATGTTTCATTCAGGTAGAATGCTGTTTGTAAAAGAAAAGAAATCCATGTTTCATGTTCCATCCAATACAACGTCGTTCACTGCTTTATACTGATCTGTCACAAGAAATCCACATAAAAAGCCACACTGAAGGTTGTGATGTGAAAGTAGGTTGGGTGAGGATGTTACCTTAGCAACCCTATTTTGCCACATCACCTTGAACACCAGAGTACTGTTAGTAAATGAAATGCAGCTGTGAAACACTTGGCAGCAACTAAAACATTTCATAAGAAATTAGAGAGTTTGTTTCATGTTCCAGTATGGAAGTGAGGCTTAAACCCCCAAACATGCAGATTGTTGAACCACAAATACGATTGTTAAATTTTGTAGTGGGAAGATTATTGATCCACAGACACCAACGTGTCCATTGTTCTCCTTCCTCTTCGTCTCAGGTACCTGAACCTTCAGGAGAACCGCATCAATGTCATCCATGACAACGCTTTCCAGGACCTGGTGCGGCTGGAGAACTTCTACCTCAACGACAACCTGCTGTCCAACATGCCCCGGCTCGCCTTCAGGGGGCTCAGCCGCCTCAAGATGCTCAACCTCGGGGGCAACCAGCTGATCAACGTGTCCAAGACGTGGTTCGGTGACATGGCGGAGCTGGAGGTCCTGTACTTGGACCGGAACCAGCTGCTGAACATCGAGGAGGGCGCCTTCGAGAACCTGACCAGCCTGATCACGCTCCACCTCAACAGCAACAACCTGACCACGCTGCCCCTCAGCGTTTTCCAGCCCATCTACTTCCTGGGTCACCTGTACCTCTTCAAAAACCCCTGGGAGTGCGACTGTGGCCTGGACTGGCTCAAGCAGTGGATGGAGAGCTACAAGCTGGTGCGGGACATCCCGTGCGCCTCGCCGTCCTCCGTGGCGGGCCTGGACCTCAGCCAGGTGGTGTTCCCCACGGCGAACGGCACATGCGTCGACCCCGCCGAGCTCAACCTGACCACGGCGTCCTCGGAGGTGCAGCCCACCACGGAGAACCGCTTCAACAGCCTCATCTCCAAGCTGCTGCAGCAGGAGCTCAGGGAGGAGATGGGGAACGGGACCGAGAGCGTGCGCAACGCGACGCTGCCGGAGCCGGAGGAGGGCCAGCTGTCGGCGGGCGTCGGAGGCCGGGGGACGCAGGCCGTTCAGTCACTGCTCTGCTTCACCGTGACGTGGCTCTTCTGTGGTTTATTCCACCTGTCACATGCTAGTCTCTGTCTTCGCTGTACGTGAAGATGAGGACTCTAGCGCCGAGAGTTTTCATATCGCTTCTGAGTTAAAATTTGCTTTTATTTCTCCCAGGAGGTCCGAAGGCTTGTTGCCCATTGTAAGAGCCTCTGAGTTGGTTTTTGGACGTTCCTCAAGCCGTAGAACGTGTAGCACGTGGAATATGACCTGGCAAGCACTGTTTCTACGGGAACTGAAATCCTTGCGCTCAATATACTGGACTTCATGTTTTATGGGGTAGTTTCAAAAAAGTATTTACCCTCTTATAGAGTTCTTCTCTTTTTGTGTATCTGTCACATGAAGCCCTCCCTGATGCCCGACGCTCAGGAAAAGCCAGGCAGTTGTCACGGTAGAGACTATGGTGTTCCGTCAGACCGTCAGTTCCAGAAATCACAAAAAAAAAAAAAACAATTGTAAAAACGGACACAAGGTCCATTACCACCTCTTTTAGGACAGCAGGAGGATTAAATGTTGGAGATAAAAGTTAAACTGAGTAAAAACAAAATGTTTTAATAAAAGAGAAAAATGTCTTCAGGCTTCATGTGAATAAGTAATTGCCCCATAAGCAATAAGGGGGGCATTTAATAATGATGGCAATGCCATCAAGTGTTTGCAATACCTGGCAAAATTGTAGTAATTCAGCCAGATTCTAGAGTTTTCGACCAATAATGGCCTATTTAAAGGGGCAGTACCATGTCATTTCCAGGCATATAGTGCTATTTTATAAATGTTACCTTTAGTCATTATTTTATCACATATAACTTAAAAGGAATCTTTCCTCCTAATTTAAAGACTTGAAACTGGGCCTCTGTCACTTGAAAAACTCCTCCTCTTCCTGAAACTTTGCCTTCAGCAAGTCATCACAACATGGCTCCTCGATTAACCCTTTATTATTATTTATTAACATTTTTACCAGTGATACACTGAGTAGTAGCTCCTGTAATGAGGTGAGCAGATATGCAATTCCACCAGGTGTTTGCTAATTGCTGCTGGCTAGTCTGAAGGTGTTGCTCTGTGAGGCAGAAGCTCAGAAACTGCAGCTCAGAGGAGGAGCTTCGTCCTTGAAGGCGGAGCTAGATCCACTCAGGAGTTTTGCACAGCTAAATAGTTGCCATGGAGATTAAAGGATTCCTCAAACATGCATGGAAAGAATCAAAGCCACACTCCATGTGTGTTTTTGATGAGGGAATAATATAACATGATTTTAAAAAGTTGATTTTACATAGTACAGCCTGCCAACAGGATATAGGTCCAAAATTTGCCTAGGCCGCTCCAAAATTTTCCTGTTGCACAACCCAAGTGTGTTTGAACTTAAGGTCAGACAGTGTCCTCCAGGATCTTCCAGCCACAGACCATAATACCACCTCCCCCGTGTTTGACTATGCATGATGTTCTCTTTCTGAAATGCTGGGTTAGGAGCAGGACACACCACCAAATACATTTCCCAGAAGTCTCTGGGACAATCGAGGAGTTCATAATTTCAGAAATTGTTTTAAAATTGACATTTAAAAAAAATAAAAAATCTTAAACATTACAATTTAAATGTGAATGTTTAAATATATAAGGGGAGAAATACTTCTACACAGCACTGTCCACAGTTTTCCACTTAAGACATTTCTCTCTTGCATAAGGCTCAGTTCGATTTAAAGTGATGCAATAGACTCTATAACGAGGGCTTTCTGTTTTTCTTTTTTTGTATCTTCATTCACATCTGTGTGTAACATTAAAGGAGCTAAGCGCTCCTGTCGTTATCTCCTGGACAGATGTCCTCTTTGCTCATTTCTCTGCGCTCTGCCTCTCCATAAACGCATTAATCTTCTTACTTCTACTGTACGCTACGGCGGGCGGGAGGGACATTCTTACCGCTTCTGCCTCCTGGGAGGAACTCTCCGAATCTGCTGGGGTCAAGTCACAATTGTCTGAATGCGGAGTCGGAAAGACTGTTGTTATTGTTATGAATCTTCTCCAGCATAATGCAGTGGTCACGCTGCATTATGTGCACGCTGTCGTGTATTTTCTAGATGTCATTGTTTAACATGAGCCACTATTTTTCTCTCTTTTTTTCGTTTTCTTTTTTTTCTACCCCGCTTAATAGGTAGTTTGGGTTCCGGTTCTATTGTCTGTCGGGACCAAAGTTCTGCTACGTGATATGTTATATATATATATATGTTTTATATAAAACGAAAAGGAAGTAAACAACGACTGCCGCTGAACTCACCACATGCTAACTCAGCGGCTCCTTTCAGCCTCGCTGGAGGAGCTGACCTGTTTTAGAGGTGAACTCCAGTTAATCTGTTGGCCTGTTAATGTAGGATTAGGTCGGGACTTAGACAACCGGGAGAGGCTGGAGGCTCCACCTCATCCCCCTGGCTCTCCCTGGATCTCATGCAGCTGTTTTTTCTTCTTCTATCCGGTAATGATGCTGAACAGTTATGTGGGTCGCAGAGGTGTGTGGCAGCTTTGAGAGTTAGCGGCTCCATAAGAAGCAGAGCTTTAGGTCCTTGTAGGTTTTAAACACACACACTAGCTGCGTTTTCATTACGTAAAACTTTTTCGGTATTCCGCTAATGGCGAAAAAACCAATTGCGGTGCTTCCTTTAAATAAGAAATGCGATTAAAATCACGTGAATACGTTTGTTCACGCGATAAGCCCTTACAGAACATCATCCTCCTACCACTTCCTGTCATCTTCATCGTCGTTCCCGCCAGTAGTAACGTCTGGTCGTTCACAAATTGAGTGATGTGAAAAACCTGTTTCCACTGGAGTTTTGTGTTAGCATCAAAACCTTTTAGCTAAAATAAGCTAATTTGTTTTGGCAATTCAAATTTGCGCAGTTAGATGGTCATTGGAAGCGCAGCTATAGCATACTTGAAAAAAATGAAATCAAACCAAGTATGAGAAGAGTCCAACACTATCAAAAGCTGTCAAAAGATTTAAATGATCAAAGGGAACCTTGAAGTGGCACCAAAGAGGAAAGTCTCCAACTCAATCAAGAGCCAATATCACAAAGATTTATATCTTGATTTGCCCAGAGAAGAGGAGCAAGTCTGGAAAAAATGTCTGAGAACGAGGTGCTTGAACACCTAAAAGATTTTTTCCTTTCCCTGACACTAATATGACATATCTTGACAAAATTTCCTTTAAGCTCAAGTTTTAGAGCAGAAATTATATTTCCCTGATCAGTTTGTTACCCTGATGACCTCAGACAACAATCTTTCCATTTCTCCAAACATTAATACCAGTAAAATTTACAATGACAAGCTCTGCATTGGTTGCGTAACAGAGGCTGGATGCTTCTCTTTTCTACCCACAGTGTGTGTATTGCTCTTGAGGACTTAGCAGCAACGCAACAGCTGCCAGCACATTGTCTGCAAGGCCACTTAAAGTTTTCTCACAATGCATGTCATCTGGCCCTAAAATGTTCTTCCTAGCTAATGGTACACTGGAGAGCAAGTTAAAACAGGCTACTGATACATTGGAGAAGGAAAAGGTTGGCTGCAGCTCCAATGCTATTAATTCATTTGGCTCAGACACTGGGAAAACACTTAAGTAAAAACATTCAGAGATAAATCGTATGGCTTTACTTAAAAACACAATCCGAAGAGAGAAGAAATATATCCGTTTCACTTTTAAGAAGGTTCTCTACTTTTAATGCAAAGGGAACTCTTTGGGAAAAGGCAAAGTGCTAATTTCATTCTTTATTGTGTTGCTAATAATCAGCAAAAAAATAAAACTGTTTTTTCTCAACAGAGCAATCTGGTTTATGGAGCTTTTCTGAAAAACTAAAGCATATACTAAAATATATAGTAGTGATTGCTGGTGGTCCTTGAGGAGACTGGTTCATATATTTTAGTTAACTATTCCAAAAATGGTTCGCTAAAATAGAAGACAATATTTATGCATTATGCCAATTTTATTCAGTTGTAAAATTGGGATGTCTGCTGAAGGAGTAACATCAATCTCTGTCTTTAGGTCTGTTTAGAAACATGTTTACTGCAAAAGGCTAGCTTGTCCTTGAAGTAAACAGCTTACTACACATTTTGTTACTGGAAGCTAACATTAGCTTCCAGTGTTCATGAACTAGCTAACAGCCACTGTGGGTTTAAAATGCAAGAATGTAATTTCAACTACAATGACGTTACCAAAATCGCAATGAAATGAAGTGATTCTCCAAATGTCGAAACTGTATCACATGACTGTTTTACAATATAATGATGTCATTGCACCATTTCCTGTTTCTTCCATGTCTGAGAAGTCATAGCTACATCCTGCCGTCCATTTTGGAGATTTGATGGTCATCTTTGACAGAGGCAAACAGAACACTGTCAACACTGCCTCTGGTTTTTCCCGATATTAATAGTGTGGGATTATGGAGCATGAGTAAAACACAGTGTTCGGGATCTGGTTCACCCTAATCACTCACTTGCATTAACTGAAATAACAAAAAAAGAGAGAGAGAAAAAGCCAGCCAGACAGAGAGGTGAGCAGAGTGTGCATTCACCTGAAATACCTAAGCCACAGGGAATGGGTCACAGGCTGGACTGGGCTGATCAGCATGCATGAGGTGGTTTCATTAAGGAACTCGACCTAGATTTTAAATGTGCATAAACTGTGCTGAGTATTGGTTTATATTCATTACGCTTTCTCTCTCTTACTTTGAAATATATATGAATTTCATATAAATGGGTTTTTCCATCTGCACTGCATGTATATACATCACAGCTCTATGATAATTTTTTTTTCAGTGCATAAGATAAAAAATATCACAAAATATTTAATCGAAGATCATATTAAAAATAAATAGTTCAATTTTGAGAGAAATCTGTGTCAGATCAATATATTTACTGAATGAAAAACTAACAAGAAGCGTTTCTGTGATCAGTTGTTTCTATTAAGGCCACGTTCCACTGATGGAAAATAAATCAATGTGTTTCACCGCTCCAGACTTAAACAGGATTTCTGTAAGCTTTTAAAACAAAGAAACTGAAAACAAGACTGGACAATTTCAACAGTTTTAGCCTCTTAAATTGGTATAAAGCACAAGTGAGGTTAGCAATACTGACTGAAAACAGCCATTTTTCTGAGACCCTCCACTTATCAGAGATTTGTGGATCTTTGCTGGTCCATCATGATGACAACTGGATGCGTTTGTTACCTTTTGCTTTGTTGTTCTCCATCAGGGTAACAGCATTTCAAGATCCCTCTGTCTGTTTGCGGCAGGCTGAAAACAAGAAACGTTTCCTTATGCTGTCTAGCCTCCCTGCTAGCTTTCACAAGCCTGGCTCTCTCTCGTCTTCTCGCAGCCTGAGAAATCTACAAACGCATTTGAACAAAGAAAGTACAGAATCCTGTTTAATAATTTGATACTTTCTCTCTGCTAACTAGCTAACTTTGACACCTCATGCCACAACAATGACAGTCCACACTGAAGAGTACAGGCAGCCTGGTAGCTATAAGCTATGAGGCATACATTACTGGACAAAGGTTGAATTTTTGAGTTTCTGTGAGGTCTGAACCAATAAAAGTAAAAATTGTCAGATTCTGGTCACCAGCAGATTTCTTGGTGTATTTCTAGAAAAATATTAATATTCCAGGATACCTTTGTAACACAGTCCAAATATAAATTTTATTGACACAAATCTTTGTCCTCTTAGTTTTCATGTAAATCTGTAGCCTTGAGAACATCACTGGATTTTAAGATGATGTTGACGTTCTACTTCTGGGAAGAGAAAATAAAATGCCACTACACATAAAAGAAAATGCATTTAAAAAAAGAAACACTGTTGACACTGAAGAACACACAGGGCAGTTGTTCATCAGTCCATCATGTTCACATGTGGAGCTTCCTCTGCTTTTCTCTTCCTTCAGAAAGTCGAGTGTACACATTGCTCTCAGGTACAGAGTTCAGGGCCTCGTCTGTCCGCCGTCGGACTCGACGTCACGTCTTCGTCGACGGAGCAAACTCTTCCCGTTTGTGTGCGACAAATCAAAAAACAGAGAAACAAATCAAGACTTTTATTAGATTTTCTTTTCTTACAAACACGGCTCACGTACATGGTTGATCTCTTTATAAATCTGTGGTTTAGAAATGTCGCCTGAAACTCCAAGAGTGTGCACAGGCGTTGAATCAACGTCCAGCTCTGTTTTTTTTTGTTTTTTTTTCTGTCTCGCTCCATCTTCATGTGGATTTCAGTCTGTCCAACAGCAAGAACGTTGGGGGAATTTTAATTTTTTTAAGTCACCTTTTGTTTGATGGAGGGTCATGGAGGGACACGAGGAACACTGACTGACAGCATGGAAGCTCAAAAATGTTCACATGCATGACAACCTCATGTCTGAATCACTTGTGGATTCATTTAGAAGAGACAGTACCAGGCAGGCGGATGGATGGATGGGTGGGTGTGGAACCTCGCCGGGCGCCAAGGTTAAAGGCCGTCGAAAGGGAAACGGCTCGGACCAAAACTGGACGAGTGATGCTGAGCTGCTGATGAGAAGACGTAGACGTAGAAGACGTAGTTAAAAGCTTTGTGTGCGTTTAACTTCGGTCTCTTGATAAGGTAGCCACTGCCAGTGTCTCACTAGAGGTGGTTCACAACAGGACCACAGCGAGACGGGAGGTCCGGAGAGCAAGCAACGCACCGACATGGGAGGAACAGGAACACAGTACTGTCTCTTTAAAACAAAACATCTACAAAGACCTAGCCTCCTAGCTAGTACAGACATGACAATATCCACGTATTGGTTTTCTCTGATTTTATACAAGACCGTGATCGATTCAGGTGAGTGCCGTTGATGCTTTCACAGTACGCTGAAGGGAGTCTCAGGTCAACAGTAGCAAGAAGGAGCTCGACCCTTTTCTATTTTCTTTTTTGTTTGTTTGTAACTCCTAGATTCTGTTTGCTGAAGATCGGATGCGGCGGGAGCGACCGGAGGGGCAGGCGATGCGGGTCAGTAGACCCAGGACACCGGAACCCATTGGCTGGAAGTGCACACCAGGTCCATGGACTCCTCCAGGTGCCGGATGGTCTCGTCAATCTCATTGTTGATGATGGTCATGTCGAAGTAGTGGGCGTAGGTCTTCTGCAGGATCTCCGACTCTTTCTGCAGCCGCTGGAGCGACTCGTCCTGGAGGAGGAGGAGAGAAACGGGAAGGTTTCACCGTCACGCAGGCGGAAAGCGGGACGGGCATGAAGACAGGAAGATTGACACACCTTTACCTTTTCCTAGTTTTTGTCACATTACCACAGATACTTGCGTGTTAGAACAACAAAAGTAGTGCATAATTGTGATGTGAAAGTAAATAGTTGCGTTTCTATTTACCTTAAAGTGACAGTTCGACATTTTGAAAATAAATTTGCTTAATGCAAACGCCAATTTCAACTAAAATTTCGTTTTTCGATATAAAGTTTTGACTGTGGGATAAGGTGTTTTTGGTGGTACCAACATGAGGTTATTTTTGCAAAACTGTGACGGAAACACTTTTTTTGTATCACACGAGTCACATGATCAACAACCAGATGTTACTGCTGCTGGAAATGACAAAGAAGATGACAGGAAGCGGAAGGAGGATAATGGTGCAGCATGTTTTTTAATGACTTATCGCGTGAACAATCTATTGAATTGATTATAACTGCGTTTCTTATTTAATGAAAATGCAGCAAGTGCAAAATTATGTTTTTTGGACAAAGTTTTGTGAACATTTGTAATGGAAATGAAGCTACTGTCAATGTAGCAAATAAATACAACAGATGTTGCATAAATCAATGAAATAAACTAAAACAACAACAATAAGAACAAGAAAAAAAATACATAAAAGTAAGGTTAAGACAGAATACAAATGCCTTCCATTCCTCAGGAGGTCAGCCTAATCTCTCTGATGTTACAAAGTCACCACAATGTGACTCCCCCATGTGACGCTGTGCTGAACCTTCTGGGACGCGACGGTTTGAGATTTGCCAATAGACTGTAAACGGATCCACCATCTGGGAAAATGCTAGGCAACTAAATACATGCTGTGATTCCTGTAAATAAAGGAGAAGTTTTGCGTTTTGAAGTGTGGTTTCTTCCTCTGCAGAGATCTTTTACTATAAACAGTCAAGGACACTAAGGCAATGTGAGATTAGTGATCTGCTTTTTGGAGCCAGACGTCATCAGGCAGTCAGCTTGGGGCTGAATTGACCACTTTTTAAAAATATTTTTAGTATTACACATTCACAATTATGCCCATACTCTGGTTGGTCAGTCACATTTTATGTGATGTTCCGATAAAAGTCACCATAGTTTGTTGTTGTAGTTCGAGGGGTATGAGAACTTTTGACTGCCTCTCTTTTTTGTCACAGTTCAGAGAAGCTTGTCAAGTTGTTGAGCTCAGTGTGCAGGGACCTTTACTAACTGGAGAGGATGGAGGCTTAACACACAAAGAGGCACTTCCTATTACAGCTTATAGCAGACGCACACACACACACGCACGCACACACACACACACACACACGGCGTAGAAATAGCACCTAGCAGTTTCGGTTCTTCCAGACTTTACTTACTGGCAGAGTTCGACACCACCTGGGCGGCTGAGGCGAGAGCCAAGCAAACAAGCAAACACATGCAGCATGCAGAAATAAAAGACAACAGGAAGGAGTGAGAAGGGAACAGAAGAGGAAGCAGCTTTACACACGTTGTGTGATCAGGAGGCAGGGCTAAAACCACCGAGCTGCTGGTGGATTTCCACATTCGATACATTTCTAATTAACCTTTGAACCTTAGCTCATTCCTCTGGACCAGAAAACACGACTTTTATCACAACTACCCAGTATTTGTGTTGAAATTGTGTCCTTATTGTACATATGTTGTGCTTGTATGTTGCATATTCCTATCTCTATGTGAATCTATTTTTTTGACTGCCTGTTGCACAAAAACTTCCCCTATTGTGGGACAACAAAGGATATTTCTACTCCATTTTATTCTACATTAAATGTTTAACATTACTTTTAGATTTTCTTCTTTCCTATATGATAATTTTTCAGGACTTTATTAGCAAACGGTTTGAGTGAAGAATCAATATTTACAGTGTTTGACTGATTGTCGTGGCTTCTATGATTCCCTCTGACGTGACAGGTCCCAGCTTCTGGACCAAATCCAGACTGCTGCCGGCCCATTCTCATCTCCTTACTGTTCTGCGTTGTTGGTTTCCATTTGTCCTCCTGCTTTCTGACAGCTGACCACGGCTTCTCAGGAGAGCGACGGCCTGCTTAGCTTCTTGGCCTCGGGGTTTTTCGTGTCTTCGAGCCGCACCGTGCGAACGAGCTAGATGGAGCTAAAGGATGTCGGTGTGTTTGTTGTGTTTTTTACCTCATTAATGCCCGGTGTGATGGTTGGAGCTGCTATGAAGACGACGTACGGGGCAAACTCTGCCGTCCGCAGGACCTTCAGCGCCTGAAATGAGCCACGTGTTAGCGGTCAAACAGAGCTGGGATACAGCATACAGATTTGTTTGATTTTTATCCTTAAGACATGATGTCTACTTCAAATTATTTCTGTATAGACACGTTGAAACGTGACATCACACACACAAGATCCCCTCTGCACCCAGCTCCCTGCTGGAGGGCAAAAACCTGCTAACCGACTATGACTACCCTCGGTTTAGCTGTTAAGTTATCAACAAAACACGCTCAATCTTAGAAAAGAAAAAGGGAAGCAGTGCTTTGCAACTAATTATCAACACAATGACAACTAGATAAGGTCCAACGGTTTCACATTTCACGGTTAAAAGATTTAATAAAAAAATAATTAAGCGTGAAGTAGGTCAGTTATGCTAGCTTGACTTTGACAAACTTAACATGTAGACGTGGTGTGGAATTTTGTGTGTTTTGGTTCAATTTAAAAAAAAAGGGGGCGACCTCCACACCAACTCTCTGACAGGTCATTAGTAGAGCAGAGGCTAATCTATCATTGCTGTGTTCAGACAGTTATTAATAAGTGTTAGTAATCACAAAACAAACATCAAATCTTAAAACAAAGAATACGACTGGTTTTTAGTTGTTTTTTTCGACATTATTTTTCTTTTGCTGTGTCGCACCGCACTGAATTAGTAATACCTACATCTCCGGGTTTCACATATTTACCAAATTGTTCCACCATGGCAGCACGGCTATGGATGGCAAATAAAAGAATCGGCTTTTTGCCTTCCGGCGTTGGGCGAGTGCACAAAATATCCGAATGTAAACAACATTCCAACCATCAATGTCCTAACACTAACCCTACCCCTAAACTAAACTTAACTCGTGGGAAGGTGTGCTATGGGGCAGCATAAGACAAGGTGGCAAAACGCACACACCTGAGGTTCCACATCTAATATAGCCACGAGTCCCTGCTGGTGGATCTTGCGGATGGTCTCGAGCCGCGTCCCGTACATGGCGTCCTCGTGGCTGCCGTACTCCAGGTACTCGTTGTTGCTGATGTCCTGCATCATCTGGTCGTGAGAGGCGAAGTAGTAGTTCTTCCCGTTCTCCTCGTCCTTCTTTGGAGGTCTGGTTGTGTCTGGAGCCCCAGAGACAGGAAGTGAGGTATTCGCACTTGGACATGTGCGAAGGGCATGTACGGTAGATGTGGTGAGGTCTTACGTGGGATGGGGTAGGCAAATCTGTCGGGGTGTTTGGTTATGAGCGTGTTCTTGATGTGTCTCCTGCCCACTCCGTGAGCGCCTGAGGGGTAAACATGGAGGTAAATGGGACATTTCTCTGACCCCCCCGACTCTAATGCCAGGCTTCACTTACCCAACAAAACTAGTGTTTTCCTCTTGAAGGCTGGGAGCTTCACCACCTCCTCATACGTGACCAGGTCTAGTTGATCAAACACTGGAGGTGACAGAGGGAGAGCGGAGTGAGCAGAGAGGAGAAACACCTGCATGGATCTGCTAACGATGTGGTGAAAGACAGGCGGACCTAAACAGTGACAGCTGATGACCGGGTTCTGATCGGAGGCGGATAGTAACTAGCTACATTTACTTGAGTAACTTCGGGGAAAAATACCACCGTTACTACTCTGTACTTCTGACTTTTTCTCAAGTAATATTATGATGAAGTATTGCTACTCTTACTTGAGTAAAGTTTGTGGATTCTCTACTCACTGAGTAACTTCACTGAATGAATAACAAACACATTTCAACCAAGAATGCATCAAATACAAACCATCACTTTATTCTCGCGTGTTGGTTTGCTGCTGTTTCTACAAACGTGTTGTTGTTCTAATGTTATTTTCCAATTGTGGCATTTAGAGATCAAGCGAATACACACTGCATAACACACACCATATACGGTCAGTGGAAGTACGCTACCCTGCTTTAGCATATGCTGTATATTCTGATATTGTGCTGAAATGATTGAAGTTCAGTACATCAATAAACACCAAAACACAATGACAAAATGATGCTACTGAGGAGTGAAGGTACGTTTCTGAACAGAACTGTTCATTTTTATGAACAGATCATTTTACAAACGGCAGTAAGTCCGACAGAATCTGAGAGATAACATTTTTTTTAGGAAGTTGGGACTTGTAAGCATAATTTTGCTGTTTCTTTCAATAATAATCGAGACCGGCTCTTGAACAGTTCACACATGACCTGCAGTAGTAGCTGCAGGTGTTCTGTATCTGTCAGGAGGATCTATCATGAGGAGTCTGCAAATATTTTCATGAACAAACCCCCCCAGACATCTCAGCTTTGGCTTTAATTGACAAAAATAACTCATAATAGTAAAGGTGAGATCTTTCTGTATGTAAACAGAGCTCAGAATAAATGAGAGGGGCTTGCAGACTGTCTGTGCTGCTGATCTCTGTACAGTGTGTTCCCAGTATCCGAAACATAAAACTCTGTGAATCTGAGGCTGCTGACAAGTGAAATACAACCCCCACAAGTCACTGGGTTCTTCGCTGCAGCTGCCGCCGATCAGACTGCCGCGCTGATGTCAGAGGGCGCAGCAAACGTCACACACGGAGGGAGAAACACGTGTTGGGCTGGAGATGGTCTGACGGAGTGTGACAAACGCTACAGGAAGCTGCCTGGTTTCAGTTTTGGTCTCAGATCTCCTTGTTGTTTGCAGAAAAACAACAGGAACAAAAGTGAAACACCGGCAGCGAACAGAGAAGAGAGGGAGGAAGAGGAGGAGGAAGAAGAGCTGGAGCTGGTGGTTACTTACATGCAGAGAGGCCGGTCAGAGGCAGACAGCAAGAGAGAGCAACACAAGGGTCAAAACATGGCCGCTTACAAAATGTTACAGAAACAGAGCAGACACCGAGCTGGTCACACAAACTGGCTACAAACGGATTCACCTTTTATCGCGGCGCAATAATCTGATGCTCAAACACTGAAGAAAAGTCCGAGCTTTACTTTATGTTTATATAGGCAAAAAAAAAATTACAAATTATTGATACCCCCAAACATTCCCTATAAAAAGCATCTAAAACAAAACAACCTTTTTGTACTTTCTTTTTACTCTCAGAGGGCAACAGGCTTCCAAGTCTCCATAGCAACGGTTAAATTCAAGTTTTACCATAGACATACAGCTGCACATTTAAAATGTACACCTTGAGCAAAATTTCATTGCAAAGCTCCAATAATAAAATAAATACATAAAATAAAATGTAAGACTTTTAAAGACCTGTTTCTCTTCCAGTATCCCGGGAACCTTTTGAAAAGTATTAGAATCTGCTAGGTGGCGCCACTGAGGGCTGAAAACGGGTCGGGTTTAGCTCTGGAGCCGAGTTCTGCAACTGCTTGATTCTACAGCTGCTGCTACAAAATAACATTTGTCCGGTGCTGCGATATTATTATTCAGAACAAAAACTAATCATAAAGGTTATTTAAATGAAAAAAACAAAACATTATTTATACAAAAAGACCAGCAGAGTGAGCTCTTTATGTATATATGGAGAATATAGATGAATAGGGAGCCCAGGTAAAAATATAAAGCACATAGTCTGAAGTTAAAAAGCATTAAATTACTTTATTATAAGTTTAAAACTCATTGTACCATTGGTGTCCCTTCTATTGCAGATAGACAATGAGGATATTGGTTAAAAACACAGAGCTGCTAAAAATAGCCTGTTTTATTGCCTTTATATTGAAAATTAAAAAAAAAATTATTTAATTTTATGATGTGATTTCTTCCCCAAACTTATAAAAGGTTCCATCTTTTCTGTTTTCAGTGTGAGATCAAGCCACCGCAGTAAAATATGACCAACAGAGGAGCCGATACGTTTTCCCCATTAGAATCACATGAACACAGAGAGACTCCTGTTGCTCCATGGAGTTTGATTGGGATCTGAGGAACCAATCAGAACACGGGATCCCAACCACATGGCTGAAAGCCTCCAGAGCCCCGCGGTGGATCCAGTCGTGTTCACAGACAACTTGGCCGGACGCAGTGGCGTCCATGTTGATCTGCTTTCCCATCTGACTGACGCTTCCTGTAACGTCTGAGAGGCTCTTCATCGGTTTCAGGCTCCATGACGTTCACACCCTCCTGCTGCCAGTGGATTACTCTGACTTGTTGGATGATGATGGCTACATTTTACTCTTAGATTGCTATAAAGCGTTTGGAGCATCAGTTCATTTTACAATCCTTACATAAATTTGACTTCCCGGTGGAACTTCCCCCAGATTTAATCTCTATAGGGGGAAAAGACAAGGCTGCCTCCTGATAGAGGCTCAACTCATGGCCTATCATTATATTCAAAATAGTGCTGCAGAAGGCATCTCCCCTTTTGGTAATAAGCTCATATTGACACAACTTGCAGATGACACAACCAAATTTCTGTAGCAATCAATGCAATTCAGGAGTTCTCAAAGGCATCTGGATTATCCCTTAATATTAAGAAATGTGAACTTGTGGCTATTAAAAACTGCACTAAATCAGAAATCTGCAACATTCCTATAACAGATGAAGTTTGTTACCTTGGTGTTTTAGTAACCAAAGATCAAAACAAAAGGTGCACCTCTAATTTTAACCCAATCATAAGCAAAACCTGCAGCAATTTCAACTTTTTTGTGAGACCATTTAACGGCAAAATTTGCAACTTTGAGGGCAAAGCCTGTAGTTTTAGTTTTTTACAAAAATAACAAATACATGGCACCATCCCGGAGGGAGTGAACCGTATTTAACTGTATGTGGTCTGATGAGCAGGCTGGAAGCTCATCAGTACGCCCGAGCTGCTCATGTTTCCCTGAGTCGCCGCCGTGCTCCTCTAAGGCATGTCTGACATCTCTTCCTCTCATTCCTGGCTGTGGCTCTGCTACTGGAGCTACGAGGTCTGCTTACCCTCAACTCACACACATAGATCTCCCTGTTAGCCAGCCACATCGTGTGTTCCTGTGGGTGTGATGGCAGTACCTGCGTTGTGCTTTGCCAGATACTTGTCTTTGTACTGCTTCTTCTTCTTGCCGAACCAGGTGCAGCTGGCCTGCTGCTCCTGCTTGGTCTTCTCCATGGCGATGCATGCCACCCGCCTGCCAAAGCAAGCAGAGTTTAGAGCTCCAGAATCGGTTCAGCTGTGGAGAAAGCTCCAGAGTCTGAGATTAAAGTCGCCTCTCTGTGTCTGAGGCACCAAAATGGAGGAGCTGCTACTACTGCCTCCAGCTTCTTACACTTCTCTAGCATAGAAAGTCCTCCGAGGTCAACACTTCTGTTTCTTTTCTGCGTCTCAGCTCCGACTTCTCACACTGAGCCAGGCTCTGCTTCTGCTGGAGGTTTCTCCCTGTTAAATGGCTTTCCTCTCCGCTAACGCCACATGTATTCTGAGTATGAGGGGATTAATATTCAGTTTTTTGACTTTGTCAGTAACATTTTCATTAATAGAAAGGAGTTAATCCTTTATTTTTGGGAAGATTGAGGCAAACTGATCATTTCTTCTGTGACTATTTTCATCTTTCCTCTTTGATATACAATGTGGCTTTAAAAGGTTTCCAGTGAAGAAGAAAAATAAGAAAAGCCTCAAAGGCACCGAAGGTTTGTGTGAAGGTTCTGAAAGTTTAGCAGAGGCTGAGAAACAGTGGAAATGATCAGGTTATCAGACCACATCCTCTCTGTCATCAGCCTGCCCAGAAACATGAAACTACCGAGAGTCTGTTGAGCTCATCAGAACATGCAGCACTTTGAAAGTCCCTTGAAATAAGCTCTGAATGCAGGATAAGTCATTCGAACGGCTACAGATGCTGCCCACGAGGTGAATGTGTTCAAGCACTTTGCAAAAGTAAGAGTTGGATTATCAGAACTCGTAATCGTCGGCCGTCTGCAGGCTGAAGGTATTATCTTTGGAACGAAAGAGGAACGATCTCGAGTCAATGCACGACTTCTGTTATGACATCTAGAAACTAGAGATCAGGCCTGGAACCTGGGTGTAGTGATAGACCCGAACCTTCAGAGACACATAAAGACAGCTACAAAGCCCAGCACCGCCATACATACAGCCCAGAACCTTTACACCTGCACGTCCCAAATTGACAAACTAGAGAATGGTTGGGTGATTCAGCAGGATTTACAATCAAGAATAGCAAAAACTGTGAAATTTCTTGGATTAGTTTGTGGCTCTAGGCAGCAGCTACACTGCATAAGGATCTCTACATCTTTAGTGAATAGCTTTAAAAGTTTGGTTTTGTTTCACAGAATGCGTTTAGTCTTGCATGGTCAGGCAACAGAAGTCAGCCACAGGCGAACACAAACATCGGCCGGCCAACTGGCAATAAACTTGTTCCATCTTTCTGCCCTTGATAGATGGAAAATGTTAGCTGGCTAGCTCGCAAGAGTATATTAGCAGCCTGTTAGCTGTAAAAAAAACTTGTATAAGATTAATTAGACCTGCCACAACAAAGCTTAAGACTTGTGATTAATGTATTCAAGACCAACTTTAATTTTTAAATGGAATTAAGGCATATTAAAGCGGAGTTACTTTTAGATATATGACTTTTTAAGGATGTTTGGACACCCTGTGTGTGATGTTCAAAGCTAAAAGCTGAAAGGTGACAGGTTGTCCTCATCAGCAGCTCCAGGACTCTGGAAGTCTCTGCTTTGTAGTTTTTGTTACTTAAAACGTATTTTTTAACATTTTACGCTTTCTTCTGTGCAGCATGTTGCGATCTGCAGCTTGTAGGTCAGAACAGGTGGGAGTCTCCCTGATGCGTGACCCAGGTGTTTTTGGAGCCGTCTCCATGGCACTCACCACTCCTGCAGCTCGGGGGACGGGATGAGGCCCGCCGTGCCGTTCTTGGTGTTCTCCAGCTTGCCCTGCCACCAGTTGTGGTCGTCCTTGGAGATGATCTGGATGATGTCGCCCACGCGGAAGCGGATGCCGGCCTCCTTGCAGGGGATGAGCTCGTCTTTGGAGGGGTCGTACTCGAACTGGGCCCTCACGTAGATCTGTGGTGGAACAAAACGACTGAAGGCTCAAACCAGGGAAGGTGGGGGGTTACTGGGCTAGTCAGTAAAAGATGTTGGTGATGGAAGCATTGTAGGAAGTGAAGCGTGTAGCTACATGGGATCGGACAGGGAGCTGGAGAGGGATCGTTGGGGGGGGGGTGTTCAGGTCGCCATCTTGGAATCTAGTTACCAAGGAAGAAGCGAGGACAGGGCTCAGTGGTGAGATAAACCCAAACACTGCAGGTTGGTTAAGGAACTCAGGCACAGGCCTTGCTTGTTTCCATCAGATCTGAATAAGTTTGGCTTTATCCTGCCTGGAAACTACCGGAACCACACAGAGTCTGTTAGTCAGGAGGGATGATCGGGGCTGCTGAGGCTCTCTGGGCTTTAAGGAAGTTTGTCTCTTACCTTAATGGACATTTTGTCCTTTGTGGGAGGTCTGGATCCCATCTAGGATTTGAAAGCATCACACGCATCATGCAGCAAAAACGCAGCGACACGACTGAACAGCAGGGGGAGGGAGAGGATGGAGGAGGGGAGCAGCTTAGAAGCCTCCTGGTCCTTAGATGGTGAGTTTAAGACTCTGTTATGAACTACAAGCCACTCAGGTGAGCCTGTCGTCTGCCGCCCTCTGCTGGCCACTAAGTGAACTCTCACAGCAAAAACACCAAACCACACCAAGTGTTTTTCTTTTGTCTAGTTTCTGGTGCAAACGTCTTAGCACACTTGAAATAAGACAAGCTAACAAGTAACTTGTCTATAAGATGCAGGAGGTTGATTTAAGTCAAAAATTGATTATTGATAAAAAGAAAAAAAAAACCCCACTAGTTCCAGTGGAACTTGTGTTTTTATATCAATATTAAGGAATTATTAACTTAAACAAGCTCCTACATCTTGCTGAAAAGTTACTTGTTAGTTTGTCTTATTTCAAGTGTGCTAAGATGTTTGGACCAGAAACTAGACAAAAGAAAAATACTTGGTGTGGTTTGGTGTTTTTACTGTGCATCATTTTTCAAGGAGGGGGTAAAATGTGTGAATCTAAAGGTTGGACCGGTGGAAGGGGGTCTGTTAAGGGAAAGAAACACGTTGGTGATAGAGGGCAGAAGGTTTCATTTCTCACTCGGGAGGCGCTTGAATTTTGACGCGTTTAAAGCGAAATGGGATGGAGAAAAGTGATAAGTTGAAGTATGAGGTGGGGAGTGGTTCACATGTCAAACTGGAGCTGCTTTAAAAAGAGTCATAACCCATATTATCATGTCAAAACACTGTAGTAGCTTTCTTGTATCGCTCAAGTGTTTGATGTCAGAAAATGTCTAATCTAGAGTGACTCGGAGCGTTGCTGGGGATGAAAAAAAGTCCTACCTAAACAAAGGTAAAAAAAAAAAAAAAAGAGTAGAAATCTATATGGGAATCTTTAAAATCTTTAAAAAAATATCCATATTCAATTATAATTAAATTTAAGCCGTCTAATTATTGTTTTTGCCCATAGTTGATCATAAAACAATAATCTAGAGCAGGGGTCCCCAACTTTTTCCTGTGAGGGCCACATAACTTTTCCCTTCTCTGGTGGGGGCCGGAGTCAGTTTGTAACAAAAAAAGTGTGACGATTGCAGGAGTGCCCAAATGTAAAAAATATTGTTTCCCAGAAAGCACAATCAAATAACCCTCTCTGGGTTCTTCACAGAATCAATCCAGGAAATAACACTATTTATGAAATAAATACCATATTTTCCAGACTATAAGCCGCAACCGCAAAGTAAAAAAAAAATAAAAAATCAGTAAACATACACATATAAGCCGCAAGGTTCAAAGCTTAGGATAAACGTAGCAGCTTATAGTCCGGAAAATACAGTATATGAAAAAAAAATCTAAATGCTCTCTGGTATTCGGTTGGGGACCCCTGATCTAGAGGAATGAGTTGATCCTGACTGAAGAACATGGTTATATGAAGTGAGACTATGAAGAGGCTAAAGTTGTGTCAACAAAACAACCTGGAGGTATTACATGGCCTTTCAAAATAAAAGCATCAATTAGTGTGATTGTGCTTGTTAAGGAGAGTTCTGGAAGCCGTTTGGATCTGCAGCTTCTTCTAACCACCAAGCTGTTCATCCTGCCCAGCATCGTCTTCTCAGACTCAATCAGACCAGTTTTTGTGTTGTTGTTGTTGCTGTTGCTTCCCCCCTCAGATACCAGAGCGATATCGATCTTGATGCATTGTGGTCTGCTGAAAGCAGGGCAGCAGCAGGCCTTTTACTATAAATGATGGGTTTATGCATTCAGAGCGAAGCGACACGTTCTCCTGAGAAGAGGCAGCTGATTACTTTCCACGTCGCCCGAAACATTAACCAAGACCATAAAGAGACATCTGGTACCGAGCTTGTTGCTAAAATTTGTTTCATTTATGAACAAAGGGCAGCAAAACAGTCATCCTGAGGGCCACCGACGGCCCCCAGGCCACACTTTGGACAACCCAACCTTATTGGTTTGTAGAGAACGTTAGTCATTTACAAAAAGCGCAGAGTGGATGTCACTCTGAATATCATCTAGACGTTCACAAAAATATATTTTAGGATAAAGCAGATTAGTTTGTAAAAAAAAAAAATGGACCAATCAAAGTCCAAAATAAAGAAAAAATGTCATTGTTGCAGCTGGAATTACTGATAAACACCACAACAAAATAAAACTTGCCCAGAGCAAGACATGCTCTACATAAATGAGTTATTATGAATTAACTAAATTAATCTAAACCTTATTTATATTTTTCAGATTTGAGAATTTTTCTATAAATATGGAAATGAAGAAATAGTTTGAAGATGGTTACTTTGAAAAGCCTGTTATTTTGGTGTGGCCAAAGAGCCGCGCATGGCACCAAACAATTATTTTGCTACTTTGCGTTTGTCACCAAAACACCTCAAAGTTTTCATTTTAAGATGAAATATCTCCAAAAGTTCAAGGGGTGTGAACACTTTTGCAGAGCAGCGCCGGGGGACGGGGTGAGTGACGGTAAGTTACCTGTCGACCTTTGGGCTGCATGGTGGACGGCAGGTCCTGCAGGGTAGAAGCAACGGTTACAGAAACATGTTTCCGCCAACTGTCAACACCAAGCAGCGTCTTTCAACAAACACTACGCATGCATCAACCACCTGCGGTCTAGCCGGCATGAAACACACGAAACAGAAGCAGGCGGTGAAGACGGCGGGGGAGAGGGAGGACTGGTGCTCCTGCAGGTCTGGCTGTGGAGCCACCAAGCTAGCTAGCATGGAGCAAAGCCAAGCAGTCGCAGCATCATCTGTCTGGAGCCTGGGCGGGGAAATGAAGGCCCTGCAGAACCTGAACGGGGGCAGTAGACGGAGTGGGGGGGCGTGCAGGCTCCCTGAGGCACACCAATTTGTTAACTCAGATATCGGAAACGGAGGTCAGGAGACCCCGCTGCTCAAACCGTCACCAGGCCAGACAGAGAGGAGACAGTCAGGGGGAGGGGACATTTAACGGAGACACGGACGTGTTGGACGACCACGGCGTGGCGGAGGGACAATGAGACGCACCGGTGGGGGGGACAGACGTGGGTTGGTAGGGGGGTTGGTGGGGGTCCTTACCAAGATAGAACTGTTAATGCTGGAGTGGCCATTGGCAGGAGACTGCCTGGAGGTGCTGGGGGACTCTTTCTGAAATAAGACACACAGGTCAGCAGCGCGCAGCACACACACATTCTCACACACACACACACACGTGTCTGGGCAGTGGTCCGAGGTGACGGGGGGCAGCAGCGGCGCGACGTGACGATATGCATCAACAAAACACCAGCAGCCCGTTACAGGGCACTGAAAGACACCACCAGACGGGGGCGCTGTTCTCCTCTGAGCAGCAGAGAGTGTGAGGTCATCACCAGCACAGACAGCCACAGCTCAGAGCCACGGGGGTCAGAGGGGCTGGGGTGGGCGGAGGACGACCAAAAGAGCCGGAGCAACTGCAGCTGGGAAACAACCCCACCGTCTGCTCCAGGTCACTTGGTCGTCCACGTTTGGTCTGTTTGGGTGGGAGGTGTGTGTGTCCTGGTCCAGCAGTGGGTCTGTGAACAGGGAGCAGGACAGGGTCAGACAGGCGGGGCTCATTCCTGACAGAACAGAAAGACGAGTTCCGGTATCTTTGTTGTGAAATTGGTGTGCTAAATATCTGAACCAGCCCAAGCAAAACACACACACGCACGCACAGCATTCTTGGATTACACACACGCTCGGTAACCAGGCGAGCGGTTAGTAACCAGATCAGGAGCTCACGATCAGCAGTAAGGAGCGGAGGAAGATGAGGATGAAGTGAGAGGAGGAAGAGGGGTTACCTCGCACGAGGAGCCCTGCGTCCGGTAACTGGGCACGATTTTAAAGGTGATGCTGCCTCGCATTTCCCTCTGTGGACAAAACACACACACAGAGTCGTAAGCACAACCATAAAATCTGCACAGTGTGGAGCAGAGCTGTGAAGAACCGCAACAAATATTTATCGCAATAATTGTTTATGTGGCTCTTCAGAGGAAAAGGAAATTCGAAAGAAGTCTGCATGCGTCAGATCAGAATCAAGGCTTGTTCACACCCAGTGAAATGGATCATGAGACAACAAAAGCTGCCACACCTTCAGATTGACCTTTTTAAGACACATGTTGAAACGATATAAAGCATATGATAGATAGATAGATAGATAGATAGATAGATAGATAGATAGATAGATAGATAGATAGATAGATAGATAGATAGATAGATAGATATGTATTTATTTGTGTAGCTCATATTTGCAGACTTGTACAAAACATAATCCAAGTTTGAAATGAACTTAAATATGATGCAACGTTAAAAAGCCAACACCGCCAGTCTGGATGCCGAGCCGGTGACTGTGCGCTGCGCTGCTCTCAGGAGTGACGTAAAACTAGAGAGGACAGTCTGAAGTAGAGGTGAAGGTAAAGTAATTGTATTTATTTTCAGCAGCAAGGCAGTTCAAAGTGCTTCACATGAATTAGAAGGAAATGCAAACAAAACAACAAACCAAAAGAAAGAAAGTATAGAACTACATATTGGTTTAATGAGAATAAGGATAAGTAGTCCATAACTGAGAAACTAGTGGGAGTTTCTCTGGATTCTTGTTCTGATGTTGGTTCTCCATGCTTGGTAAGATTAGCGAGGTATAAAACTAAAGGTTGGTTTAGTTTTCTTCACCCTATGAAAACAGCCCTGATGTTAATGTATTTGAAGAACCGTAACAAAGTTCATTAATGTAGTTTGACCTTCATGTTTCAGATGTGTTTTGAACAGCTTAATGTTTGGTCAATCTGTCCATTGAGACGCATTTCTGGTTTCATCTACAGATGAGGAAAATGAAATGTTTGCAGAAGAAGAGAGAGACGTTGAGGTAACGTTAGCAGGCGATGCTCAATGCTCTTTATTGTGACGCCGCTCCTTTAAGTCCTGAGGAACGTAGAAGTGATGGAGATCTGTACGGTGACACTGTCCTGGCAGAAACCAGACCTTCGTCCTACACGTCACTTCGACCCTTATCTACTGAGAGTCAATCGATTCCTGGAGACGTGGACTCTGCTGAAGTTTTAAACCGTACGCCAACGTTTGTCCGTGATGAACGTAATGTGCCAGTTCGAGATTACCTACACGGTAAACAACCGTCATGTTTCACTGGAGCTTCAGACGTCTCCTGCTCCGTTTCTGATCTTTCATTTGCTTTTCCTCAACTTGCTGAGCCTGACTCCAATGACTTTCTTGTAGTTTTTTTTTTACGTGTTTTCCAACTGCTGAACTTCTCATTAAGCTTAACTTGATATTTGGACAGGCTTCTCACAGCTAACAAGATTTATATATAAAGTCTTGTAAAAAGTATTTCCATCTTTGGAACGTTTTGGGCATTTTGTCCCGTTCAGACTCTAAAATCAAAGGTTTTTATTTGGAGTTTATGTGACAGAACAAACCGTAGTAGCGCATGACTATGAAGGGATTACAGTCTATAAAACAATACATCCAGCTTGATTTGGAGCACATGTGTCAAACTCCAGCCTTTATGTGGCTCTCTGCACTCTAAAGAGTCACAGAACTAGAAGATAATGCTTGTGTGCTTAAATCTGGAACAAACTTCCAGAAAACTGCAAAAGAGCTGAAACACTGAGTTCCTTTAAATCTAGACAAAAAACCCTGCCTGCTTAGAGTTGCTTTTGAAACCTAATAAACAAAGCAACATTTTTATGTGTAATGATGGCAAAATGTAATGTTTACTGGTTTCCTCAACTGTTGACTTTGTTCTATGACTTTGTATTTTTACGATGTAAAGCTCTTTGAACTGCCTTGTTGCTGAAATGCGCTATACAAATAAATGTGATTGATTTAAATATTATTTTATCAAATTAAATAAAGTTATATTTGCATAGTGCCAAATTACAGATGTTATTTTATGTCAAGAATTGGAGAAAGTTTTGATATTTTAACAGTTTATGGGTAGTTTGAAAAATATTTTGCCACTTTGAGAACACTCATGGTTCTGATGCGACACGAAATGAAAATGAGTGGCCCAGTCAAAGTTCAGATATAAAACCAATGGAGACTGTTAACAGATGCTCTCCATCCAATCGGATTAAGTTTGAGCAATTTTGCAAAACAAAGAAACGCAAAACTGATGGAGACGTCATTAAATGTTGTTGATCTTTAATTATGATGGAATTACCATTATTTTACTTGAAAATGATCTCAAAACATCTTTTATCGCAATAATTTCTCAGGGCAATTTATCATTCAAGCAAAACCTGTTATCATATCAGGCCTACATGCAACTTTGTTCAACCTTGTCTTGCTGTGTCACATAATATCCAAATAAAATGCATCGAATTTTGATGGAGTCATGAATACTGAAGCGTGTTCGCCAGGTAGTGATATCACACTTTGTTAGCAGTTTGAAAGACTAGTTTTATTTTTTTTTTAAAGTAGAAACAGTCTATTGCTTCTTGACCTGCAGATTCTAACGCTGAGTGAGTTTTCCATTTTTGATTTAGCAATGCTCAAGCCTTCAAAGGTTGATCTGCAAGCAACGATTTGCAGAAATGTTCTAATCCCGCAGCGCTACTCTTGTCAGAAGCTTCAAAAACCAAGATAGACAATGCAGAGTAACTTACCAGCATCTTCTGCAGCTGCTCCACGGTCTGGTTGGCCACGCTGATGCCATTGATTTCCCTGATCTCATCCCCAACGTGCAACGTTCCTGAGAGGAAACCAGAGCTCAGGAGATGAGGCCGGTGGAGCAGTGGAGCTACGCTACGCTCTTTTAGACTCTGTTGTGTTTTTTCCTATCACCACTACGGCAAAAGTAAAAATCCCTGATTTATATTATTATAAATGAGATATGTTTAAAGTTCCTTCAGACTAGCCAGGAGCAATTAGCAAACCACTGGTGGAACTGCGCCATCTGCTGAGTTCATTATAGGAGCTACTACTCAGTGAAACGCTGGTAAAAACGTTGCTAAAGGGTTAGTAGAGGAGCCATGTTGTGATGACTTCCTGAAGGCGGAGTTTCAGAAAGAGCAGGAGTTTCTTAAAGAGACAGTGGTCCAATTTCAAGGCGCTTCATGTCAAAGTAAATTTTCTTTGAAGTCATACTTGATAAATAACAACTGAAGGTAACGTAGTCACTTTATTGTGCTATAAAATGGCACTGTATGCTTGGAAATCACATCATAATGGCCTTTTAGCAAAAAAAGAAGAAAAAAACAATGCAGTTGGGTGTTTATTCTGTGAAAAGCTTCTGAAGAATCTGTCATTACGCTGCAGATACCAGTGAAACCGAACCTTGTCTGTGGATCATTCCTCCGTGCATTATCCTGGCCACGATGCAGTGGTTCAAGTCGTTCATCTTCAGTGTGATGCCCTGCATGATTTAACGCAGACAAATCTACAGTCAGAGGCGCTTCGTCACACATTTGATGGGGCAGCTGGTGGTGCTTAACAGGGTCAACTTGGGATTTTGTTTGCCTTCCAAATACTGAGTTTGTGAGGACATGTACCATGGGCTCGTCTGTGTTCTTCTGGAACTGGACCAGGCGGACTCTGGTGACGTTCTCCAGGTCCATGTCTCCGTTCGCACTCTCCGGGGAGTCTCCGTTCAAATAGGGCGAGGTGGGCGGAGGAGTGACCCGCAGAGCCTCGTCACTGTAAACCTCGTGGGCGACCACGTCGTGGGCCTGCAGCAGCGCCTGTCGGTCGCACAGAGCACAAAGGAGACCTGATTGCACATTAAGAAACCTCTGGGAGTCAGTGAGGAAGATTCAGCAAAAACAGAATAAAGAAGTTTAAGATGCATTTTAAAAAACTGAATCAAAAGTTAGACAGGAGTTTGACGTATAAAAAATCAGAACAATTCTGACTTTTGGAGGTTTTGATCGACAGCTGGAATACATTACCTGCATGCCTGCAGATTAAAGGTTCACCTTCCTGCAGAGAATCTTGTTATTTTAGCTCTGTATTTATTATTTCATATAAAAAAATCCCTGTATGGTTAAGTATCCAAAATTTCACACAATATTGTCAAGTCTTACACATGTTTTATTTTAAGCCAAGCATCTTCAAGAACACAGCTGAACTAGTTAGCTAAAGTTATTTTAGATGTATTAGCTAACTACTGTAACATGCTAGCTAATTATCAGGTCTGACTAATAAATCAATCAAACAGCTGCAGCTGCGGGTGTCGTCCCCCCTGGCTGAAAAGGGGTTCATGTTTTAATGTTTTTATCTTTTTTTAATCTTTTTTCTCTCAAAATCTCTTTCTCACTGTTTATTCAATGTCACATGCTGTTTTCTTTTAATTATGTAAAGCACTTTGAAATGCCTTGCTGCTGAAATGTGCTATACAAATAACATTTTATTGATTTGATTGATAATTAATGTAACATGCTAGCTAATGCTACAAAATCTTGCTAATTTGTTTCGAGAAATGTTAGCTAATGTTTAAGTTCAAAAGAGCTAAAACTAAAGTGACGTTAGCTTAAGGGCTATTATTATCATGTTAGGTCATTTGAACTTAATCCATACAGTAATAAAACTTTAGTTTTTGAGTAAACAAACTTTAGCGTGATCATCATTTTAAAGGTTTTCAACAACGGCCTGTTGAACGCCTGTTCATCAAGAATACCTGGTGGACACCGAGAAACAGCACGTATGATATAAATGCTGAATGGCTTCAGTCAACGATCTACCTAACTCCTCTTGAGGGGGCTACAGATGAAGACTTGAGATATTTTAGGTGACATGATGATAATGTGGGACTGCGAGGGTCTCTGCACAGTTCAGAGGTGGAGTTAAACATAAACCAGCCTTGAAGTGAAGAGCTGGAGGGATTCCCACATTAACTCGCTGCTCCACAGTTTTCCACATGTGTCGCTGGTCCGTGGCCCGTTTCTCCTGCGCCGCCTCACACCTACACAGCTCGATTTCACTCGGCTGACAGCCGCACAGGGCCCTTGAGCGGCACTTTAACAAACCGGTCTGAACTTCACAAGACGGCAATCAAAGCTCAGCAATAGGGGGAAACTGTCACGGGCTTCCCTCGGCTGTACACGCACGCACGCACGCACGCACGCACGCACGCACGCAGCTGTGGAAGGAGATCACATCAGAGACACTGGCAGCTCTCCAAATCCCATGTCAAAATACATCACACACGACCTGAGACGCACAAACGTGACTCTGTGTCTGAATGAGAACGGGGTTTAAAGCTCAGCTCAGCTCAGCTGGATGAGAATTTAAAGAATAACACAAAAAGAGGAAGAGAGTTTGAGGAAAAGCAGCAGCAAAATGAGATCTCACTCAAACTCTGATCAGAATCTCATAAACTCTGAGAGCAGCTCAAAACCTCAGCCAATATCGGCTGTGGTGAGTGGAAAACTAATTTGTGAACTTACACGCATCCTGTTTGCTGCTTGGTTCAAGAAATGAAAATGACGTTGCAAAATGTCACGTTGTCACAAAATATTCAGATGGTTTGTTTCCTGGGGAAGATCCTCAGGACACAACAACACCAGAAGATCATCAGCAAACAACTCAGTTTTCAATGCTTACATCTGAGTAAATGAATCACACGACAAATTAAAATGATTTAATCTGCCTTCTGGTTATTAATCGACATCACAATTTCATTTATGGCTTCAGTTGTGTGTGGTTTTCAATCCTGTTTCTCTTCTTGTTTTGGTGGCCGTGTTTTATTTTGGTGAACTTCCAGTTCCGGTTTTTAAGTGTTATTTACAAAATTGCAAGTTTATTGGTCTGTGAGAGGGTAAGCTTTCATTATTGTGCGATTATCAATATATTACTTGAAAATGGTGTCAAAACAGCAATATTGTCGTTTATCGTGATAGTTAGTGGGACAATTTATTCTTAGGGAACATTTGTTATTGTCAATCTGCCCAGAGTCTGAACTCTGACTTTACTTCAAATCAAATGCCTTTATATAGCACATTTAGCATTAAAATAACATTTAATAACACAAACTAAATGCTATCACACACGGAAAAACTATTTCTGTATTTTACGTTGATATCTCCCTGCTGTTGGAGAAATACATGAAACTTGTTGACTGTAAATTTAGTTTTTATCAACTATTATTACTTTCAAATAATTTAAATAATACAGCACACTTAAATACCACAAAATCCAAATAATTTCTTTTACTTTGCTACTCCTGTAAGGCTAAAATCAGTAGCCACGATGACACTGTTATGTAAGCTAACTGCAAATTAAGCTAATGATAGTAGCTGCGTTACATAGATAGAGTAGCTTAGGAATGACAGAGTATCTGGTGTTGACATGTTGGTGTGTGCGCCCTCGTGCCCCTGTTCCCCCCAAGTGAAAATCTGCTTAGGGCCCCAAAAATTCTTGGGCCGGCCCTGGTGAGGGGTAAGGCAGAAGGAGGCTGAAGGAAAGCTGCATTAATACGAACCTTTTATCAACAACTTTCTTGATAAATGAGGACTGATAGATATTTGACACCAGGGACGAATCGGGTTAGCGTCTCTTTGACAATTTTTCGTTTGCTAAAGCAGAACAAAACCAAGCTTGTATTTTTAGCAGGCATTAATGTCACAGCAACAGCACGCCCAGTCAGATGGACACAGTCATCCTGAGTCATCTGCTCCCCAGGACAGTCTGTTCCTCCCCAAGCAGACCGGGCGCGCTAACAGGAGTCCTGCTGTGGTTCCTCTTGTTGGAACGGGGAACATGTCGGGTCAAAAGCGCCACAAAGGGGCGACGGGGAGAGGGTGGCGGTATCTGACCCGACACATCGCATCAGACTCGCTCCGCTGGCACCCGTCCTGCCCCCTCCATCCTGCCTAATTACCATAATCACACCTTCAACCCTCACTTTGCTTTGATGCATTTCTCTCTCCTCTGTTTGGTCCCACCAGTGATATTCTGTCCATCTGATACTGAGCAGCTCACTGATCAGTGAGGACATCATTGGCACTAATGCGATAAGATTAGTGAGGAAGGCAGCCGACAGTAATGGCCCTCTGGAGTGGCTTAATGGTATCAGATGTTTTGTGTTTCCTTGAGCAACAACAAAATAATCATATCATTTCTGTCTACAAATCAACATGTAAAAGTAAAGATTTGATTTCCATTCACCCCTTTTTACTCTGGCAACAGACCCCACCACCTTCAGAGAACAACTCTGCATGATGTAGTAAGCAGACCCAATATCAGTATCGGTCCTGACACTGAAAACAATTCTAGATCGGACATCGGTGACAATGTGCTCCATCTATTCAGTCTAATTCTATGCTTTATTTATTTTACATCATATTCCTAATTGCACTTTCATAACCATTTAAAAGGTTTGCTACAGTTTATTTTTTACACTTTGACCAAATTAGTCAATCTATTGTTTTTATCAGTTTCAGTTTCTATATTATTTATTTTAAACTTGCTCTTCTACTCCTTTTTGCACCGACTGAACAAATTAAAGATGTGTTGTTTTTACATGCTTGACCAGGATTGTGAAGCTGTTGGTGCATTCAAGAGAGCAGAGTTATCAAATCCATTTGTTATTCAGTACATTCATGTCTGAGTTAAGAAACAAAGAAGAAACGATTTAAATCACCTTAAACCACCTGAACAATCAGCCACACTTTTCAGATTTTCAAGCTTTTGAGGACTCTGGCATTCTTGTGTCGTTTCTGGTTACAGGGACGTGAAGGGAAATCAATAATGTGCCATCGGGCCCGTTTGCCACTCGTTCTACTCACCATGAAGTGCGGCTGCGTCAGTATCCGTCTGAGCTCTTTAGCTTCGTACTTCTCCGGGTAGCAGGAGATCTCTTCCAGGACCTGAGGATGCAGGGAAAGGACAGTCTGCTTCAAACAGGTCACTTTCACGCCGACGTACCTGCTGGACCTCAAACTATGCAGACAGACCAACCCGGCAGCCCCACAGGCCCTCCCCTCTTAAGGTTCCCGTGACCTCCTGATAGCGCTTAGTGTTGTCAGCTCCGGTTATCCTGCCTGACTGGTGAATGTGGCATTGTAGAGGTGAGAGGCCTCTCACAGGGTGTGGGTGTTTGCTCTGAAACCTGCGTTATTGAGTCGCTGCTTGGAAAAGCTGAAGGGTGGGCGGAGCCTCTTACATCCAGGTGCCTCGTTTACCCCTTAGATTCCAGAGAAAACTCTTCCCACCACGAAATGTTAGCTTTTCATGTCATTTAACGCTTACAAACATAGCATATAATCTACGAAACTTGATATTACTTGGATAAACTCAGGCTTGTTGTTTGGTTTTGAATATTCGTGTTACTTTCTGACAAACCAACACATGCAGAATGTGTCCGTTTTAAGCTAAGCTAGCCTCATCACTCATTGAGTGTTTGCTACATCTCTGACTTTATTTTGAGATAAAAATCTCAATATTACAGGGTGTGCTGTGGTGGCGCAGGGGTTAAGCACAACCCACATATGGAGGCCTTAGTCCTCGACGCAGCTGTCGCAGGTTCAATTCCTGGCCTTGGCGACCTTTGCTGCATGTCTTCCTCCTTCTCTCATCACTTTCCTGTCAATTAACTATCAAATAAAGGCCACTAGAGCCAAACAAATCTTAAAAAACAACAAAAAAATTTAAAATCTCAATATTACGCCTTTAAGTAAAAGTTGAGGTCCTCAGATCTTTATTCATGTCCCGACGGGCAATTAATTTAGCAAGCAAGCCACAGTAATAACAACAACCCACCAACAATTAGTGTTTAGCTGGAGGGCTACGTACCAAAATTCCCCTGTTTTGTCACAAAACATAAAACTTGTTGATCAAAAACAAATAGGTGGTGGTATGACTAATAATGTCAGCAATAAACAAACCAATAAACAGATTGTTAACTTTAGAACAAATTCTGCTACAATGTTTTTGTGAGATTCTAGCTAGAACCGGGTGTTTTCTGTACCAGTTGTATTGCAATTTGGATCATGTTCATGTTACATGTGTGTATGGCACCCCTCCTTCTTTTGAGGTCATGTTTAGTTACGGTAAGGAAAGCTTGTAAAAAAAACATAAAATGGAGACGGCAGGGGAGGGCTGCCATATGTAGCACACAACTAAACATTGTAATTTGTGTTTGACACTTAAGTAAAAAAGGAAAATAAAAGTATTTTAGTTTCAGTCAGAAATTAGTGACGCTGTTAATTTTTACAGCAGGAGTAAAAAGAGTATGCCTTTGCTTCCAGTGGGTAATAAAACACTTTGAGTTTATCTCAGATGCATTTAGGTGCCGTATGTTTTTGCTTCAAGCATCAGCTAGACCGAGAACAGCTAAAACACACGCAACATCAGAAGTAAAATCTGCTCTTTCTCTTTAATCATCAGCATCTGTTGAAGTTCTGCACGCCACTTTAAATCTATCACAGCTGATTTAAGTAGGAAAATGTGACCTGGAATCTCTGAGCGGACTTGAAAGTCTCATATAAACGTTCGGTGTTAATAAGCCCAGACTCTGTGCTCCCTCCCGTTAAACGGCCTCCCCAGTCTGAACAGCTCTGGGATTTACGTCTCCGGGCCTCACCCACTCATCTCGCTGCTCTGACTCTTTGGTAAGTCCCTCAGTTTGCACATTTCATGTTCAGCCATAAATGAATTCCAACAACATTAAGTATTTTATTTTAATGTGTCTTACAAAAAGTGTTTGACATGCTATTAGGTGACAATCCAGAAGAGCCATTCATTTTCATTTGTTCTGACTGATAGAATGGAGTTAGCTTTTTTCAAAGTGTGACGTAGTACGGGTCATTCGGCTGCTTCCTGAGCGTAGGCTAAACGAGACTGTAGATGTTAGCTTTCTTTAGTTAATATTTATAGAAAAACTGTTAGCTTTTTGTAGCTAAAATCAACAGGAAGACTGTAGATATTAGCTTTCTGTAGCTAATATCAACAGGAAGACTGTAGATGTTAACTTTCTGTAGCTAATATCAACAGGAAGACTGTAGATGTTAACTTTCTGTAGC